ATAAATATATATATATATATATATATATATATATATATATATATATATATATATATATATATATATATATATATATATATATATATATATATAAAAACCGGACATAAATAGGTGTTTTTCGAAATTGAGAGCAGTTTCAAATTATAGCGTTGTTTGCCGTGCATGAATGTTTTCGCATCAACATTGCAAGCGTTAGACGCATCTTTGCGCTTCAGTGTTCTGTCTATAAATATTTAATTTGACATTTCTACGAAAAAGAAAATAAAAATCAGAGAACAAAACTGATCTCGCGCAGTTGACTATCATACAATCACACTTCACATAAAGCGGAAAACAATTAAGTTGCTAAGAAAACCGTTGAAATGGCAACAATGGCATTGTAAAGTGTAGTGGGGACATTTCTTGAATAATTTCCTGGATTTTTGGAATTGGGGAGCCCAACAACTCCGAGATAACTGCAACACATGAGTATTGTGAACAAGAATGTGGGAACAAATCTCGTGATTTAATTTTCAATAACCATTAGTTTAAAAAAGGTCATGCAGAAGTATAGCAATGTATTACTACCAAAATAGACGTTTGAGGATCAGCATCGTCGGAACTAATTTTATTCCCTATGGACTAAGTTCAGATAAACAAGGATAAATTGACAAGGTAATTACTTTCGCTGCATGGCAGCATGGCATTTCTAAATCATAATTAAGCAAGCTTTGCCTTATAAATATTTAATCATGCATCCATTTTCTAGTTTGTATTGTCGAGTTTCTTCTTAGATGTTTAGTGTGTGTATATATATATATATATATATATATATATATATATATATATATATATATATATATATATATATATATATATATATATATATATATATATATATATATAATCAGGTGAATTTAAATGAATTTCATCAGGTGAATTTAAATGTCGCGCTATGTTGTTGCCAAGGTTATATATACTATATACATGTTTGACGTAAACGGAATGTTCAAGTATTAAATTACGTATAGATTACATATATATACAGATTATATTAAGTAATGTATATTGCTTAAGAGAAATTTGTTTCTATGTCTGCATTTCGACAAAAGTTCACTTCTTGAATTTAAAGAACAAAGTTCAGGGTGGTAGATTATGATGAATTTTTCATGTGTACAAAGACTGCAGCGTTTCGTTGTGTTGTTGTAGCTCTTGCATTGCTTAATAATACGCCAGTTTATGGAGTACTTGACCTTCGACTCTTTAAGTTGCCAGATGTATTTGCTCAGCTCTGTGGCATTTCTATACTTGCTTAATCTGAATGAGCTAGTGTGGCAATAATATCTGGATTTGAACTGTCCTTCAGTATGTCCGACATACGATTCCTTTTGATTCGTATCGTTCCTAACAACCGTTGCTTGGTATACTACGCTGGATGTTAGACATTTACCGGGCAGTGGACACGAGGACTTATTCCTGCAATTGCATTGTCTTGGTTTCGTGCTGCATGTTGACGCATCTGTTGAGGTGAGCTTATTTAGGCTTACTACAGATTTATTGTGCCCAGAAATTATATTACGAATGTTGGGCATGCAACTGTAACTCAGCTTCAAGGTATTTCTGTTAAATATTTTATGGAGAGGATTGTTTTTAGGGAAGCAATCATCAATTGCTTGTAGGAATTTGTGTCCGATATTCGTTTTGACATTAGAGTTGTAAGGTGGATTAAACCATATAACGTTTCTGTTTCTAGTGCGTTTTGTCTTTGGATGCTGGGGATTGTATTTTAACTTGTAGTTGTAACCACTCTTATGTAAAGCATCTTGGTATGGAGGACAAGCTGAATTAAATGCTTGTTCGTTAGACGAGATGTTGGACAATCGATTGTTAATTGCATCAGGAATTGCCTTTAAAACTGCGGGTGGGTGATTACTCTGACGATGGACATATTGAAGCGTATTTCCCGGTTTCATGTACGGTTTAAATGAGGAAGATCTTAGGTCAAATGTGACATCTAGGTAATTGACACATTTTTTGTTAGCTTCGATTGTAATCTTTAAATTATGTTCATTAAAAGTTCTGCAAATTTGCTTCTTGATATTTTCTATTGCTCTCGGTGGTTTGTCAAACGCTGCAAGGCCATCATCTCTGTAGAGACCAATATCATTTCGATATTCTGGAGGAAGTTTGGATAGTAGGAATAAACCAACTAGCTCGCATGTTTCCGCACCATCAAAACTGCCCATCGTTACATCAAAGAGGCTCTCTGGCTCTTTCTTTCGCCAAGTTTGATTTCTGCTGAAGAGAACTGATTTCTTCGCCTGCATTATTATGTGCTTCTCCTCATCCGTGATGGTGTTGAACTGGGAAGCAAAGGCGAACATTACTTCCAATATAGCAAATGAGGAAAAGATTATAGCTGAGAATCTTGGACTTGCCAACCGAATCGACGCATTAGCTCCCAAAAATAGCTTCGTCACATTGAAAGATCACAAACCAAATTTTCAGAACAATCCAACCTGTAGGCTAATCAACCCTTCCAAATCAGAAATCGGTGTCATCAGTAAACAACTCCTACAAAGTATCAATTCAAATATTTTGATCCATACTAACTTAAATCAATGGAAAAACACGAACTCTGTTATTTCATGGTTTAAGAATTTACCTAACAAGTCATCTCGTTCGTTTATTTGTTTTGATATCGTAGATTTTTACCCATCCATTACTGAAGAGCTGCTTCTTAATGCCTTAACCTTTGCTTCCCAGTTCAACACCATCACGGATGAGGAGAAGCACATAATAATGCAGGCGAAGAGATCAGTTCTCTTCAGCAGAAATCAAACTTGGCGCAAGAAAGAGTCAGATAGCCTCTTTGATGTAACGATGGGCAGTTTTGATGGTGCGGAAACATGCGAGCTAGTTGGTTTATTCCTACTATCCAAACTTCCTCCAGAATACCGAAATGATATTGGTCTCTACAGAGATGATGGCCTTGCAGCGTTTGACAAACAACCGAGAGCAATAGAAAATATCAAGAAGCAAATTTGCAGAACTTTTAATGAACATAATTTAAAGATTACAATCGAAGCTAACAAAAAATGTGTCAATTACCTAGATGTCACATTTGACGTAAGAACTTCCTCATTTAAACCGTACATGAAACCGGGAAATACGCTTCAATATGTCCATCGTCAGAGTAATCACCCACCCGTGGTTTTAAAGGCAATTCCTGATGCAATTAACAATCGATTGTCCAACATCTCGTCTGACGAACAAGCATTTAATTCAGCTTGTCCTCCATACCAAAATGCTTTACATAAGAGTGGTTACAACTACAAGTTAAAATACAATCCTAAAAACATTTTTTTCAATTTAAACGTTTTATCATCATATTTGAGTCAAATATGATGGAATATCCTCAGCTGACGCAGGATCAGTAACTTTTACATTCGTCGTTGCCATAGTAACTAAGATAGGCCTCGCTATAGGGTAAAATATAGGGTTTGCTCCAAAAATGATGTGAGCCAAACTAATTTACCGAGGATTTTAGAAACAGCTTTAATGGACACTTAATACATCGATCTATGTCATGAACCTAAAAAAAATATACAACTAATATAATAAAGCCTTCATATTTTACTTTTTTAAAATTATATGAAGGAGTTCTTATAAGGCTACTCTTGCAATGTATATTGCTGATATATGAAGTTTTTTAGGTCCATGACATGGCTATGTAACAAGCAAATAAACTCTGAAAATTTCGAACGAATTGATTCAGTATGAACAGTAGGAGAGTTTTTAGTATTTCGCAAAATGCTTATGTGAGAAAAGCGATTTTAAAGTTTTTGCATATATTAGAATAACTTAGATAGAACAATATAATTGAAAATGGAACAATAGACTAAACCAATCGCATATCTTTATCGCTCCGGGTAAAATCGTAGTTTTACCCTACGAAGGTGTAGAATTTGCTGGATTTCTCTGGTTTACGGTACATTTTCGTTCTTAAAATTACACGGATTTTATAAAGAACGCTATAAAGACTACATTTTTACGTTTTTCTAAAAAATAACGAATATTGGAAAATTTGGGTGGAAGACCACCTTAATGAGTTTTAGCCCATTATCTAAATATTGCTGTAAATTAGTTTCCCCTTTCTCTCTATTGCCGCCAATTTGCCGTAAAATTACTTTGGCTGTCGAGAACAATGTGAGGTTAACTTTTTTGGTGTCCTGCTTCTAAAATTTGACAATACGTTATTTTATTATACATCTTAATCTCTTTAAATTCTATGGCAAGGTGGGAACGCTTTAATATGATGAATACATTTTAAAATTGTCTGAATTTGCATTAAAACAGTGAAAATATAAACTTGACAACGCCTTCAGATTTAGTCGCACACAGTTCATTAAAAAACATCGATGCTGCTTAATTTAAAAGGTGTATATAAGTTCAACCTCAATATATTTCAATTTTTGGCTAATATTTTATTCTATATTCCATGGCTGGGTAGAAAACCCGTTAGGGAGCTAAAACAATATATTTTCTAAATTGCTTTATTTACGTTTCGACATTTAAAGTGCTCTTCATATGAACCTGTGCATGATTGGCATCAATAAATAATGCAAGCCAATAAGCAAACACGACACTTATTCGCCTACACTTAGTGGGAATTGTTAGTGTTCTCGTTCTGATACGTTGGCTTCCGTAAAATGTAACAGGGGATTCAGACGAGTTTCGTATTTCGGTAAGCTTTGGTAAGTTGCTAAAATTTTTGTCGAATTCAATTTTCTTTAAATCACCTGGCATTAAACTAAACAAAATGCTAAATAAAACGCCTGTTACGTTCCAGCTTATCAGCGGTTCTTTGGAATAGAAGACTAGTTGCCATACTGGCGAGATAATACTCATATACTTAGAAGAAATTCGCGAATTTTGGTGAGTTATTAATAGATTGTGTTCGATCAGTTTATAATATTTCTATACACTTGCATGATTTTTGAAAAATTGATATCTTAGGCCACGTTTATATTAACTGCATCGGATCACTTTCCATCCGACGCAAAAACAATACTTCTGTTTATACATATGAAATGTTGTTATCGTCTTAATATCTGCAACGGACTAGTGGTGCGGCGGTTTGCTCTTCGAAGTGGTGCGCGGTGTATTGGATTGGTTTTGCAACGCTCTCTTTGTAATGTAAGGACAAATCGGAGCAATTTTCGGTTCAATGCGTGCATGACTGAAGATGGCGTCTAGCAAACAAATACTTGCTCTTCTATAATTTTTTCTGCGGGTATAGCCTGCTCGCAATTTCAAACAAAGCGAATACGACGGCATAGAAGGGCGTTTACATTTGGGCCGTAAGGTTTTGCGAACGAAGCAAAAACCGATCCGCAACAATGTAAACATATAGCCTTTGTTTTGATCTTATGGCTCCAAACAGGCTACGCTTGAGCAGTTAAGAAGTGTGTTTTATTTTGGCAACACGGATTGTTTTAGATAACGATGGCAAAAACAGCTCTTGTTTCACCAACGAACGTGAAACTCCATAAATTTAGCAACTCTTGATAGAAAGGTAAGATATGGTGTCGCTATATTTAATGTCTATTTCAGTAATTCATGTGCGCATGTAAATTGTAAAATTGGTGTTGTCATAAAAGTTATTTGCTTAAGTTTGGCATCTGCAATATATCAATTTGGCCTTTGAAACGACATGTAGTTGTCCCTTGTTTCGAATTAAACCATTTTCTTGCTCTGAAGTGCATCAATAAGATGGTTACTTTTCTAGCTTACTGCAGTCTAAATTTGCATTAAAACAGTGAAAATGTAAACTAGACAATGCTTTCAGTTTTAGTCGCACGCACTTCATTAAAAACATCGATGCCGCTTAAAAGGCGTATAAGTTCAACCGCAATATATTTCAAGTTTTGGCTAATATTTTATTCGTCTATTTCCATGGCTGGGTAGAAACACCTGTTAAGGAGCTAAAACAATAAATTTTCTAAATTGCTTTATTTATGTTCTGATACTTAATGTGCTCTTTATGAACTTGTGCATGATTGGCATGTGCATAAATAAATAATTCAAACTAACAAGCGAACACGACACTTATTCGCCTACACTTAGTGGGAATTGTTAAGAATCGTTCCTGCTGAACGCTTCTTCCGTGTTCTTATACGTTGGCTTCAGCAAAACGTGACAAGAGATTCAGACGAGTTTCGTGTTCCGGTAAGCTTTTGATAAGTTGCTAAAATTTTTGTTGAATTCAATTTCTTTAAATCGTCTGGCATTAAAATAAACAAAATGATAAATAAAATACCTGTTACGTTCCATCTTATCGTCGGTTCTTTGGAATAGAAGACTAGTTGCCATACTGGCGAAATACTACATACTTTGAAGGAATTCTGGAATTTTGGTAAGTTTTCATGGGTTGTGTTCAATCAGTTTCTAATATTTCTACACTTGCATGATTTTTGACAAATAGATATCTAAAACCATACCGCGAATAGGGCTTCTGTCTACATATGAAATGTTGTTATCGTCTCAATTTCTGCAACGGACCAGTGGTGCGGAGGTTCGCGCGGTGTGTCTGATTAGTTTTGCAATAACGCTCTCATTGTAATGTAAACACCATTCTGAGCAATTTTCGGTTCATTGCGTGACGCAAGATGGCGTCTAGCAAACAAATACTTGCTCTTCTAATCTTATTTGCGGGTATAGCTTGCTCACTCTTTTAAACGATGTCTGCGATATTTTTTGTATTTGGTAAATATATAAAGGAAATATATACGACGGCATGGACGACGGCATGGTCGTAACGTTTCGCGAACGAAGCAAAAACCGATCCGATACAATGTAAACATAGCCTTTGTTTTGATCCGATGGCTGCAAACCACCCGATTAGCGCGTTTGACGCCGGCTGACAGCCGGAAATTTTGTCTCCGATTGCTCGGCTGTCAGCCGGGCTGTACTATAGTGTACTATTCGTTCAAAAAATGCGCGCATTTCGGAGACTGGTTCTAGAATGTTTCATAAGCAGAAAGCCACCAAAATTACATTAAATTTTCCGAAAATCATCGAAATGCATCTAAATTCATCTTCCCAATGCATATAGCTAGCTATGCGACAGGTAAATAAACGAGAAAAAAAAAACAATTTCGGCAAAAAGAAAAATTCAAATTCGTTTGCGCGCACTCCGGACTTGAACTCACGACCCCCAGCATGCGCCCTGAGTGTTGTTTCCCTGCGCCACCACGTTTTACACGGAAAATATGTTAATTTATTGTATATACACAGGTTATTCTTAGGCAGCGCGATTAAAGATTGCGTAAATACGTACTCCATCGTACACGGCCAAGGGTACAGTAGCAGCCGAGCCGTATCTACACTTTAATACAATACTTACAATACATCACGGCATAGATCACGGCTTCCAGCCGGGGTTATTTAACTGTAATACAATACTACAATGCAATACGAGTGTCAGCCGAGCCTGCCGGTAGTATACTATAGTATACTACGATACATCACGGCTACCAGCCGGCAATACGGCTATCAGCCGGGCGTGTCTGTAGTATACTATACTATAGTACTGCAAAACATCACGCCTACCAACCGGGGTTATTTAACTGTAATACAATACTATAATGCAATACAACTGTCAGCCAAGCCTGTCGGTAGTATACTGTAGTATACTACGATACATCACGGCTATCAGCCGACAATACGGCTAACAGGCGGGCCTTTCTGTAGTATACTATAGTATACTACAATACATCGCGGGTACCATTGATTTATTTTTCATAAAAAATATGCAAAATTTTACTCATTGTATACGAAGAGAATTACTAACATAAAAAATACTTGTCCTATACTGCACACGCAAGAATAGTAAACCTTTAATTTACGATAGTTCTTTGATGACATTCTACTTTTGATGACATTCTACTTTTTTTATTTTATTTTCTGCTGAAAAAATACTGTCTGTTTTAGGTATTCATTAGATCATATACTATAAAACGATTAGCAAGTTTCGCCAAAGGAACGCATTCTCTAAACCGAAATGACACCTCTTCAACAACAACAGAACATGGCAAAAGAGGTTGGTCGTGCGCCTTCTGAACACTGGAGTCTACGTTTTGGTCCTATCCTTTTGATGTTTTGGTTCGTCATATTTTTGCATTTGCAATCATTTGGAGAAGGGCACAGCTTTTGCTACGACGGATCTAAAGAAGGTGAGTTTTGATAAACTGAAAAATGCACCTACATGACTCGAAATTCGGAATAAAATTACTCAAATTTAATTATGAGAAGTTCTATTCAATTTACTTTACTGAAACAATGATTAAATTTGCTTATAAATTTAAGTAATTTTACTCAATCTAGAGTCAGTGCATGTGGGTGCATTATTTTACTCAAGTTCTTGAGTCCAGTGTAAACACTTATATATATGTTCTTTAACATATGTCTAAATGTGAAATTTCTATAAGAGCCAAGACGTGCAATTAAAATTTATGTGAAATAAGGATGCAAGAAACACCACATTGACTGTATTAATACTGCATCTTATATATTGAAAAATTAACAGTATAGCTAAGATAAAAGGAATCGCGTAAATGAATTGGAACTCACTAGTGAATTGAAGGGTGGTGCGTTTAGCCGAAGCAGGTGTCCGTATATTGCGCTAACATATGCGCCTGTTAATTCGCTGCCAGCGAGTATATTTTAAATACGGAGAAAATGTTCTCGCGTGAAATATTTCATAATTTCCAGACTGCGCGCAAGCAGAAAACGTTGCCGACGTTCTCTCTTAGGCTATGTGCACGCGGGCGTCGTTTTCGAGCGTTTTCAAAAACGTTTATGTCCCTTTAATCGTTTTGATGCCCTGTTCACAGGGTCCAAAGGAAAATATCTCCAATGTATATTAAATAAACTACAGCTTTTGTCGTAAATTGATAGTGTTTGCATCCGTTTTAGCGTGAAAACACAAATGAAAAAACTCGAAAACGTTATCGCGTGCACGTAGTCTTATTCTCCCCTACGCCCTGTATTCTCGCAACATTCCCCGCGCGTGCATTGTCACATCATGAATGCACACGACTCGTTTTCTATTTCTTAATTAATGAAGACTAACTTAAACAGAGGTTAAACGAGTTACACGAACAAAATATTAGTGGTTTGCATTCAATCCCATGAGATTTTTAAGATACAGCCATGGCCATGTTAGAGGAAAACACCTTCCAAATACAATAGCAGCTAATGAGATTCATTGTAATAGTTCCTACAACATGGCCGCATGATATGGATCATGCAAATGTCGAGAGACAACCAACTAAGGATCAAACTGTTTTATTTTTCAAAATTAGTCACCTTCTTTCTACTATACTTATTTTACCGTTAAAAAGGTTATCGTTTGGACACTAAGGTTATCAAATATGTTCACGCAGAGTCTGGACTGGATTGCATCTTACAATGCATGCTTCAAGAGATATTATGCCGATCTGCTAACTTCAGAAAAACTTGTGGAGGACAGGAAAATTGTGAGTTACTCGAATCTTTGTATAAAGAAGAACCAGCAGAGAGTTTAAAGAACGATGAAAATTTTGATCACTACATACTACTTCAACCCGAACGAGTAAGTACAGTCAGAATATTTCATAAGGGTTTCTGCAGATGGAAATTTCAAGCAGAAGATTATATACAATTTTCAAACCTAACCTCTATCGCGTTAAAGCCGTTGCGTGCGGCGAAGTGAAACAAGGTATAGCTACGGTTCGATTTATTTTTGAACATAGGTTCCTGTTTTTTGTCTGACTTAGAAATTTTCTTACTTCTGACTTAGAAATCTGCGACTTTCCCTCGCTTTTTTAATTCTCAAATTGTTTTTTAGACGTTTACAGATTGGGGTTAGAGAAGGGTTTGGGGTTGGGATCAGTTTATCTTATAAATGGAAGCAAATTGGCGTATTGTTTAGAAGAATCGTCTATGTTTATAGTATGTCTATGCTAAAATTGAGAATCTCTGATCAAGAATTGGCTATCGTGGTGCATTGTAAATAATATTTAACAATTATATTGAATGAGGTTGAGCACTTGCGATAGATGAACCAGGCGGAAATCGTAATCTTAAGATAAATATTTTAATATTAAAATGCCCAGCATTAAAATGCCCAGCATAAAATACGTAAAAGAGCCATAACAAAAATATAGTACGATATGAAGAATTATCAAGCCCGAAGTTTGCCGTTATCAACCGAAGCCGAAGGCTGAGGTTGATATCGGCAAACTGAGGGCTTGATAATTTTTCATATTGTGCGAAAACCGAATTCAATAATTGTTTTATTATTTATTTAAAAAATTAAAAACAAACATTTGTATTTTATTTGTATTAAGAAAAAAACAATTCCTTAGTCCTTCGGCAGCCGTCGTTACGTCATATCAATGGCGTCAGCGAGTGAATATGATTCTCGTCGTCATAGTAATATGGCGCAAACGCGTCCAAATTTTTTTCGTATTGACTCTTTGACGTCATTTTGCTAATATGAATGTGAAAAATCCGGATTTGGTTAGCCATTGAGTTGATATGACAATTTCCCAGTTGGCTGTTAGCCAATCAGAAACCAAGAATTTTTTAAATAAATAATAATCTCCATTGTTACATTGCTGACTTAAGGTGGCTCCCTACAGTTATAGTCCAGTTAAAACATTTATATAGCTCAGACGTCATCCTCGCGACTCGCGCGTGGAACCTTCGTTGCCCGTTTTGTATTTTTATCTACAAAGAAACGCCAGTTTTTTTATTATAATCCTAAACTTTTCAACATTCGAACAGTACGTATGTAATTGTTAGCTAGTTTTTTACCTACCTTCAGTGTGTTTTTTTTTATATATTTAATACGTTCAGTACTGTATTTCATAATGCTCACAATGTTCAACAACAGTGTCACGGACAACACCGCGGAAAAACGTCTGCGCATGCACCAAATTTTGAAAATATGGCGGGGAATTTGAATATCAATTTCTAAAACAAAAACATGCTTATTAATTGGTCAAAAATTAGTAAAACAAACGAGAAAATATAGTAAATGGGCAGACTAGACATTAATTGATGTTCCTCACGCATTATAATTTACACGCATGCGCAAATAGTGATCATGTCGAATCGATATTTTGTCACGTCAACAGCTTCAACTGGATTTAGGACTATTTTTCTCGCGTTTTCTTCGGAAAAATTTTTTTAAACTTTGCACGTTTGCTAAGCATGACGATTCGCCAAACATATCAAAATTTCAAGAAATTCTATAAGACAGATTTTTTGTAGTCGTTATTCATGAATTCCTCAAAACCTGCCTTATAAACATCCTTCAAATTTTAATATGTCATTCCTCTTTCAACCATAAATCTTAAAAAAAAAATTCAGAAAAATTGACCGAAGGAAAAAAGATATTGTCGTTTGTAAAATTACACTGTTCCTATTTGTTCATATATCGACAGCAGAAGACTTTTGAACTTTCCTGGAAATGATTATATTGCCCTGTCTTAAGTGTGTTCAATATAAACTTGGTTGAAAACGAAGGTTGCCTAAAATACTTAAAATTTTAGAAAACTGTAGGGAGCCACCTTAAATTGACATGCTGGGTTAAATTAAAGTCAATAACGAGCTATGGAATGGCTGTAAAAATCAAGGACTATATTATTTCTTTGCTATTCTTGGCCCATTATTATTTGCGGTGATATTTGATGATCGTAGATACAGTGGGCCGGGTTTACCAGGTTGAGTTGCCCATAGTTGGAGGGTACGCCTGTATTCATATCTACTTCTGCACGCCATTACACCCTACCACGAACGCAACCTCGCAAGCCAGGGTCTTTTACTTCCGCACGGCGCTACAGCAAAGACCCTGGTTCCCTCCGGTCACGTGAACTCCTAAAAATTAGGGCAACAAGAGGGGAGGGTGGTTGAAATGTGATATGTTGTAATTTACAACTTCCGGTTAAATGTTGTGTTTGCAAGGCCCGCCGAGGAGTGACTGTAAAGCTATGAGAAGTGACTTCAACTGTAATATGCAAAAACATTCAAAATGTATTATTTTTCTTATTTGTCTGCAGTTTTCTATTATAAATATTTTGTATGCAAACACTATTTGAAGCCCAAGCAGGTTATTTGCTTGGACAAGCTGTCCTTTGGTGTGTATAATTATACTGACAATTTTTCGGCGACCGGTAATATGGAGAGTCGCTGATTTACCAGCTTTTGCCTTTGATGCTTTTCGCTAAAAGAGCGTTATAAGAACGTCAACTCATGGTGTTTGTGTAAATGAGTAATGCTGCTCGTTACAGTATATCTCGAACGCGCCTTTGATAAACAATCCAGCTCGAAAATTATGTGCGATAAAACTCAGAGATCAGCAGTAAATGTTTTTCAGCAGCCATTAAAATGTGACAACGAAGAGATTGATTGCGATGTAGCTGAACTTGACCAAAAGACAAAAGTAATTCTACATGTTATTTTTCAGTCATCCATTATATTGTTATCACAATTTTGTTCACTTTATGGCAAACGTAGTATATTGTTTGTTGTATTTCATAACGTACCAGTCGTTATTGCATGACTGCTACAGCATATATATAAACTTGACCGAAGGCACATAAAAGAATCACTTGGCTTGCATAATTGCTTTGAGTTGGTTGCAAATTCTGACCGAAAGAATATCTTTTGCGAAAAGCATTCAGATACAGGCACTGATATTGATGCCTTGCAACTGGAGGACATTCATGCAGACCAATTTATGCTGTAGTGTATGCAAAACACAATGTTTATGTGTTGAGTGTAGTTTAGATATGGAAAGGGAATGATTTTACCTGATTAGACAATATTTTTGGGCCTGTGAAATATTCTTGACTTAGTACCAAATGAATACACAATTAATCACAAATGTGAATTTTGTTGAACTCAGTTTTTTTACAGTGGGCACAAGTTGCACTATGTTCACACTCTCTCATATACTGTATATGTCATCATTTGCATATATAAACTCGATTTACTTCATGGACATTACAAAAACCTATACAGCAGTGCAACTACAAAATTCTAAATTGAATATACGTATAAATACAGTATACTGTAACCATGCAGCTATTTCAATAAAAGTTGTCACAGACAATAGTCAGATGTACAATAATATGAGTGCTAAATGATCGAATAATGGGAATAATGATAGTTTTCAATAAGTATAACACCTCAAATATATTATGAATACCTGTCCAATTTAATTTGTATTCCCATGAGGCTATTGATGTGTTAAAATAGTATCTTTTTTAGCGTTCAATTGTACATTTAACTATAGTCTGTGACACTAACCTTAATTGGAATAGCTGCATTATATAATATAGCACAAGTTCAAATTGTGCATCTATTAATCCTTTCAAGTTAGGATAGTCTTGGTAGCCTATGCTGCAGCCATACAAATCATTGTTGCTTATTCGTGCAAGTGTTATAGCATTCACAGTCATAATTCCTCTTCATCTTCTGATGTATCCACTGCATGGTACGTGCTTGGTGAATGTTCCTCTTGTGTTTGTTTAGCTAGTCATCAAATGCAGCGACAATTTGTCTATAATGTTGCTAATGTATCTGATGATATATATGTGAAGAAACCTTCATGAAAGTGATCATATACCGTATTGTTGATTGCAAATGGCGGATTCAGCCAAAATTCCGACCGTAGCAATTGGAAGACCCTCCATAGTCATAGACCTCCGCAAAAAATTTGAATTTCAAGCCTGGATCCGGAAATGCCATTTCGTGCGTTCTGAGCAAAGAATGTGACCATTTTAATTTTTTTCTCATGCACTGCACTCATTTTTCAAGCAAAAATAAGAAAGGTTTCAAAAAGTACAAAGTACTTTATTCATAAAAACTTTACTGAACTCTTGTCTGTTATCAGAAATATTCGTCTAATTTTTAAACCGACTGACCACTTTGAATCCTTAGTCTCGAGAATTTTGGCTGTTATAAAATTTTCACTTGCTAAGTATCTTGTAAATGCTCACTAATCATCAAACACAATAATTAAGCCGATTTCCAAAATGTTTTTTTACGTGTCAAGCGACTTACTTTAAATATCGATTCAGAATATTGTCGTACGCACATATTCTGCCCAATACATTTTAAATTTGAAAGGTATTTGCAACAGTTAGTTAGTAAGTTATAAGATTGACTTGTAACAAAGCTGTTATAAACTCGCAACTGTTTTTGAGCACCGTAAACCCTCGTCTATAATCCGTCGGAGAGAGAGCTTATACAGGGTGTACAGCCTCGTACCCAGGCGCTATAAATGGGCACACTACAGTGTTTTTATATGGATCAGTGGATCGAGCGCGCGGGGGTGCTTGGGGAGGTTGCAGGAAACGAAGCGCCTGGCAGAATTTGTAACAAACATGGCGGACATGAGGATGCAAATGAGGAAATTGCTGTACTATACTCAATGAAATTGAAAGGCCTGCCCATCGAGCGTGACATTTGGAAAAGATTTTATGTCCAAATGATCACTGCGTTGATAATAATTATTTTTCCTCGAAAACGGTATTATATATTTATCATTTTAGCTGGCGAGTTTCCTCAGGACCTCTCGAAATTTAATAGAAAGTCTCCTGGTCATGGTTTATTTCAAATGGTTGAAAATATTAAATATATGTCTGGTATTTGATGCACATCATGAAATGTACTGCCTTTTTGCAGTTTGAAAGAAAAGTATTCTGACAACAAAGCCAAAGTCAACGAAACTGGCCAAGTTTATAACTTTATATTCTTGAATTTTAATAATACATTGAATTTTATAAATATGGAATGTTGAAACTACTATTTATTTGTACTGATGATTTTTTTTCCTCAGATGAGAAAATTAACTGGAAAATATTTAATGATTGTAGGTTTCTAAAATTTTGCCAATAAAAGGAATATAAATTAACATGCATGAGTGCTTTTTAGTATGCAAAATATGGTGAAGATAAAAACATAATTTTTAGAGCTCTATTGTTGTAACTGGCTGACAATAATTATATAAACCACAGACCAGACCAAACTAATCTCATCTCATGCATTGTTCACCTGTTGATGTTTGTGATTCACCTTACTTTTGAGTTTTGAACTATGAAGGCTATTGCCCTTGATTGCCAAAATCTACTATGTTTACATTAAGGAAAGGGGTATACTCTGGACTTGCCTCTGGCTGCATACAATGCATTTGATACCTGTTACAGACATATTCGACCAAATTGGACAATTTAAAGGCATGGTTGCACATTGCAATTTGTTGGGCTGATTACAGTACAGATGGTATTGATATTTAAAAATCAATGACATTTGAAAAATATGTGGCAAACATTTGATGGTCTCACTGAAAATATTTGTCAACAGTTAGCAAAATCTAAAATCAGCCCGGCAAAGTATGGTGTATAAACACACAAAAATACACTCATACATGCATGTACCATACATATACACACATGATTTACCATGTTGCCATGGAAATTGGTCTTGGGATTAAACAATCCAAACATGTTTATACACAAATGCTTTACCTGAAATCATTCTCAAGTTACTCAAGGTAAGTCCCAGTAAACAGCTTGGACAGGTGTAGGTTTGTAGTGTAAACACAAGACCTATCCCAGTTGTCTCTGTGCTTGCTCCTAAATCCTCATGAATGTTTTACACAACTTGACTAAATGAGATATACCTCATCAACATACTATGCAAACAACCCCATTTAACCTAAAATGTTGACAATTTTATTTATTTTGCTCATAATATAAACTACTGGTATTTACATTAAAAAAGATCTAGAGCTATGGCTGTATGGAAATATTTATGCAATTTAATACTCTTGTGGGCCTTTATTTATACACTCATCCACATCTTAACGTCTAAACAAACTAGGCACATTAAACTTTGCAAATTAACAACTTTGCCCATTAAGTTTCACTGCCCCCTACTAGGGCTATGGTGGTGTGCTGATTGCACCACCGAGTTTCGTGGTGCAATTGTCAGTTCTAGACCACTTGATAAACTGCTAGATTTTTCAATCTCGTCATAGTTCTCCATCTCATAATCTGCTTCAGTGGCAATGGGGACTATCTAACAACATAATAAATTAACAACATTTCTATTACTCATTAATTCATAAATTTACTACATTATAATGCGATGCATGTGTAAAAATGTGATGCATTCAAATGTGTGCTAACTTAGGAACTTAAACTACATAAGTACCTTCTTCAAAATCAAGTTGGGAAAAGGATGCATTAAATATATCATCAGAACTTACTGATGCTATCAAAAGAAGATTTAATAGGTGTTTTAAATACGCATACAGGTGATACAGCAAAATTTTGTTGTGGCAATTTGCTGCTATTGCAATTTATATAAAATTAGCTTTGAAATTGTTGTTATTGCATGAACCAAAGTCCAAAGAGACAAATATAACAGCATTCAACACTGAACAAATTTATATAACAATATATATCGCTATTTTACATCATATAAAAAAATGTAAATAATATTTAGTTAATTTAAAATCCTTTCGTTTTTAATATCAATTCTATTATAACACAGGTATATCATATTAAAATTAAAATGACTCTTATTATTAAAATTAACAGACTCAGTCAGTATATTATTAATTCAAATAAAGGTTAAAAAGCGCCTATTAAGTATGTTTAAAGAAAAAGATTACCTTCATGTGGCTGTCTTTACTCCGTCTGGTCCATATTGTCACGGAAATTGGGCACAAAATGCACAAAAACGCTTAAAAACTACATTTCTAAACTAAATTTCAGAAATCGACAATTTCTTGTCGTCACTTATCGAACAAATTCTCCAGGCGCCTCCGGTTCCAGTTGCGTCCTCCCCAGGCACCCCCGCGCGCTCGCTCATCTTAGCCACTGATCTATATAAAAGTACTGTAGTGTACCTATTTTTAGTTAATTGCGCCTGGGTACGAGGCTGCAGGGTGTATAAAAAAACTGAACAGATAAGAATTTGCTCTCAATTTCGCAAAACAGCTATTAGAATCCAGTTTTTGATGTATATAGCTTCTTTGAGTACTTATAATGTAGAATATGAAAACAATTTCCGAACTCAAATTTTGTGAACCAGCGGGGCTGTATCTTTTCCAACAAACTAAAAATGGCTTGCGCACACAATTTAAAAGCTTTAATCATATTTTTAGCTTCTTGGCTAATTTGCATATGTCAGCAATATGTAAATTAGGTAAAGGCATTAATTAAGCATGCGAAAGGCTGATTTTTTACGAAAAAATGAATAGCTAAAGGGCTTAAACTAAAGTACATTGTTTGAAATTTAGCACAGTAATTAAAAACCCAACAAATTTCACATCTATTAACTCAAAATATGATTAAAGCTTTTCAAATTTCGTCCGCAAGCCATTTTTCGTTTGGTGGAAAAGACACACCACCCTGGTTCATAAAAACTGAGTTCGAGAAATTTTTTAAATACCCAAAGAAAGCTATATACAGTAAAAATTGGATACTAACAGCTGTTTTGCGAAATTGAGAGCAAATTCAAATCTGTTCAGTTTTTATACATCCTGTATTTTTCAGTCACATATGAGCGGACTTAATAGAATGCATGCATGGGCGGATTGTAAGGGGACGTACGCATCGTTTTGCACCTCGCCTAAAAGGGTCATGCACCTTCTCTTTAGACACGTAAGTTAAAATGATAGATCAAAGTGAACTGTTTCTTAGGGTTTGCACTTTGTAGAAAGTTTTTCTATAAAATTAAAACGACGATAGCCATTCATACCCGCTTAATTAAGTATACTCTTTTAATGCAATATTACGAAAGAAACTTTGTGGTAATATGATATAATGACAATCAAAATTGAATGAGTTTTACAGTAATATTTCAAAAATTCACTGACGTATATGTACCGTATATGCGTCACGCAGCGTACTTCATGTATTTAACTTTAGGTGGAGGGAGGGGGGGGGGAGGGGGCGTTATAAGCCCTAACTTTCCATGGAGGCCTTAAGTAAAACCGTTCCACTTCCCCCAAAGCTTTTCCACCTCCTCCACCATTTCCACAAAAATTCGGCTACGTACGACAGAATGAACGTAAGAGAGCTTACTTGAGTTGGGGAGCCTCATTAGAAATTACGATAAATATTTTTAAAGTTCGAAAAATTTTCCATTTTTAGGAACCACCAATTTCCTGCAAAGATATTCTGAAAAAATCAGCAAGGGCTACAAGTGGACTTTATAAAATCTCTGTCAACAACAAAATAGTGACAGTATACTGTGAAATGGTTCTTCATGGTGGTAGCTTCACCTTTATCCCCAAGTCGGCTGTCAAGAAAGGAACCCTACCCAAACTTGTATCACAACTTTTCACAAACGACTCTGAAGTTCTTCTGTACATTCAAAAGAAAGATGGAAATCAGACCTACACCCACATCCAACAACTGCAAGAGAAATCGCAAACGCCTTTAGTAGTCTTGCAGAATACAAACACAGGTTAGTTTGTGTAAATATGATTATGAAAGCTACATTTCTAATGATGTTAATTGTCCATGACCACCAATTTGGAAACAAAAATGGGTTGTTACAGGGGTGTCCAAAAAGGGTAGTGCTTCGTTATGGTCGTTGCAGTAGTGGCAGTATACGTTTGTAATTGTCCATATTAAAAATAAGAACAAACACTTTACATAGGTATAGCAAATTATTGGTTTCCCAGTCGTTAGATTGTGTCAATTTTTATCGTACTGTATAATGATTGGTGATGGTGGTTGTGATGGTGTAGTGGCAGTGTAAGTTTGTAAGATCAGTGTTGATAATAAAAATAATAATAAACACTTTACTCGGGGTTGTTAACAAATTACTGGTTTCCCAGTAGTTTACATTGTGCCCGTTTTTATGGTATAAGAATTGACCATTTTCGTAATAGACTAAATTTTGATCTAAACAAGTCTAGACAAAAATTTCATTACAGCTTGAAAGAGCATCGCAAAATTAGTAATATTCCAAAGTTTCGTTGCGAAATGTTGTAAAATGCGGAAAATATAGCATTGCGAAATTTGCAATTTCCAGTCATTTTAGATTACAAACGGGAAATTGACAGCCTCTCAGGGTTTGGGGCTGTCAATTTCCCATTTATAATCTAAAATGATTGAAAATTGCAAACTTTGCAAGGCTATATTATCCGCATTTTGCAACATTTCCCAACGAAACTTTGGAATATTACTAATTTTGTGATGCTCTTTAAAGCTGGGATGAAATTTTTGTTCAGATCAAAATGTAGTCTATTACGCAAGTGGTCAATTGTGGATGGTTGAAAATTAATATGCATGGAATTAGTGTTATGGCAGTGATTATAGTGGCGGGGATTGATGAGAATTATTGCGACTTTGGAACAATTCTATAAGAACAAATATTACATTGAAATCGCTACATTCAAGTGTTATTATAATAATTGTCAAACTAAATATTGTTATGGGAATAAATGTTATAGGGATTCAGTTGTGATAATATAGCAGATGAATGAATAGTTTGTTTAATAAAAACATCATCTGGCAGTCAGAAGACTGAATTACATGACGTTAAGTGTTACAAGGTTATAAATAGTAAAAAATTCTGTATTACAATGCAATTAAGAAATTGTTAATATATACTATATATCATATACTTAAATGTACTAATCTATATGAGTTAAAAATTCTAAAATGTTCAAGGAACATCTGATTTGTAATGTTTCTTAGCATAAAAGTTGATAAAAGAGTTTCCGAAACGATTTGTACTTGCTGGTAAAACTTCAAAAGATCTTTCTTTTCGTAATCCTCTATTGCCTGCTTTGGATGGTAAAAATTTGGCAAGTTTATGATCATCATTTAAAACAATGTCGTTGAAGAGATTATTGGATAGATACTCCCGTCTGTTTTCAAGAGTAGAAATACCAGCGATGTTAAGAGCCTCGTCGTAAGACAATTCATAGAATATTATTTTCATTGCTCGCTTCTGTATACGTTCAATGTTTTTTGCAAGATTTCGTGGCAGGGAACTATGGAATAATTGGCACGCATATTCGAGGACAGACCTTATACAGCTGCAAAAAAATTTGACCAAATCTGCCGAAGCGACATCAGCACGTTTGAGTTGCCTCAACAAATATAAACGTTTAGCTGCTTTGGAGACAATTGAATTTACATGGTCTATCCATTTAAGGTCATTTCTTAATATAACTCCAAGCGATTTGATACTTGTCACTCTTTCCAAATTTCGGTCACCAATACGTATAGGTTCAAAAACAGGTGGTAATCGTGAAAAGGATATTACCATTTCTTTGCATTTAAATGGATTTAGTTGAAAGGAATTGTTCATAGACCAAGTAGTAATATCATCGATATCCATTTGTAAAGTACTTTCTTCGTTTTTTTCAACAATTTCAGAGACCGTAGTATCATCGGCAAATTTCCACATTTCTGAAAGGTGATTTTGTAACACAAGGTCATTTATCATGGCTAAGAATAGCCAAGGCCCAAGTCGTGTGCCTTGAGGGACACCAGCTGGAACTTGGAGCCAGTCTGAGAAACAATTATCACTTAGTTTGACCCTTTGCCATCTATTACGTAAAAAGTCAATAATCCAGTTAACCACACAGGGCTTAATACCAAGGCTGAATAATTTCGCAACTAATGTGGTGTGATCCACCATGTCAAATGCTTTTTTATAATCAAGAAATACAGTACGAGCAGATGAACCACTTCCATCTGTTGCACTCAACCAACAATGGAGCATCGATATCAAGGCAAGTACAGTGGAAGAATTTGGAATAAAGCCAAATTGTTGGGGATCAACAACCTTTAACAAAGTTGGTTTTACTTCTCTTTCGATTACAAGACGTTCCGCTATCTTTGATAGGGTGGAAGTTAAGGAAATAGGTCGTAATTCCCTTTCCAAGTCTTTGACAGTAGATGTTTTTGGTAAGGGGACCACATCAGCCAGCTTCCAAATTTGAGGGACTTTACAACTTTGAAAGGAAGAATTGATTATATTTGCAACTGGTGAGGCGAGAATATCCGAATAGGTTTTTAAAACCCAATTGGAAATACCGTCAGGGCCACTGGAACGCGATGTACTAATTTCTTGCAATTTTCTAGCTATAGTTGACTCGGTCACAATAATAGGCGTTTCATCGTTGTGTACAATTACAGCCGTATCTTCAGATAATGGAACATAGTTCTGTATCACATTTATGAAAACATTGTTAATTTTATTACTGAGGTTTATGTCTGTCTCCTGCTATAAATCTTGATGGAGGCGGTCTTTTACACTTTTGTTGTTATGTTTAGATGTGCCACACAACTGCTTCACTTCCCGCCACCAATCTCGGGGGTTAGTGTTACGTAAATTATGAACTTTAGATTGATAATAGCTCTTACGACAACGTTTTCGTTCACGATTAACTTTATTACGTAACATTTTAAAAAGAGTGACATTACCAGATGCAAAGGCTTTTTGTCGTCGATTTATCAGTGATTTCAGATTGCTGTTAACCCATGGTCGATCATTAGGGTGGACTTTTATTGAACGTTCAGGCATAATTAAGTTCAAACCATAGTTTATAATGCTAGTTAAAAAGTATAGTTTTTGATCATTTGAGGGTATGGACGATAAAATGTCCCATGGAATTTCCTGGAGAAATCGACCAAGACTTCTAATATTACTGGGTCGCTTGTCTCTTGTTTTAACAATACGCGATTGTGGTTCGTGCGATCTTTTCCTCGTTCCAGGACCCATGGCAATTGTTATATGGTCTGATAAGCCAAATGGAGGAGCACTAGTAGGAGGTGAATAGTATTCAAATAGATTGGTATAAATTTGATCAAGAATATTGGCACCTCTGGTGGGAAAATCAATTACTGGTTTTAGTTGAAAAGGTTTAACAGTAGCCTGTAAGTCCAATTTGTTGAAATCACCGGCAATAATGATTGCAGGGTTAGGAATTGAAGATTCAATATATTCTAATGAAGATTGGACATAGTCACGCATACTTGTACAATCGGCATCTGGAGGGTGGTACACAACAGCTATTATCATATTTGAGTAATTTCGTGGGAGTCGTTTTGGTTGTAAAGCTAGCCACAATACTTCGTGATTATCACTATCTAACTCCGTTAGGCGGTTGCAAGAAATGGTATTGTTAATATAAAAACAAACCCCACCATGGGATTTGTGTTGACGATCACGCCTGAATAATTGGTAATTTGTAATATTAATAGCTTCATTTGGAACGGATTCTTTTAACCATGTTTCGCTGAAAAAGGCAATATCTATATGATTCGAAGTAAGAAATACAGCAATTTCATCGATTTTCGGGGCTAGCGACATAGTGTTTGACAATAATATAGCAGGTACAAAATGCGACGAACAAGACACGGTTTTACTATTAACTTCGGGGTTCACAGATACATGAATTAAATTGCTTGACTTGATTATCTTACGACAGATGAGGTTTGGGTTGACATTTTCCTGGTTATTATTATATAAACAATGTTCAAGTAAGCTTTCCAATTCTCTTTCCATCCCGGAAGACGACGTACCCCCGGCCTCGTCTAATAATAATATTTGTAAAAGTTCATTTTGTCTCTCAACATTGTACGTGCACGAAAATCCTTTCCCGAATTTTTGTTACGTTTATTATGTTTCCTAGATGGTTTTCGCTGGGTGATGCGGGTTGGAATAGATTGATAATTATTCATAGGAGTTGTATCATCTGTAATAATTCCACTATTACTGGGATTAATTACGGTGAGATCTAGACAATGGGGACTACATTCATTATGTTGGCCATGGTAGTGTAAGTATCTTTTGTTAGTATTAGATTGATAAATCTCCACACATTCATTCGCAATTCTTTGGCTAGTATTTAATTGATCCTGAATGCCTTGTGGATTGTGGTGCAGATCATGACATGGGTTCTTTAAAATTGGTGTATTATTTGAACAACTCTTAACATTTGACTTGGAATGACTAGGCAAATACTTTCCTACTAAGGTTTCGACTATACTGTCCGTAATATTCTGCTTTTCGATTATATTGTCCGTATTATTCTGCTCAGGTTCGTCCGAGAAATACAAGCAAGTAGGTGTAATCACAGACGCAATAGGGCTATTATAATTCGTACATTGTACAACACATTCAGCCGATGTATTATTGGGAGATTTACTTAGTTGATCCAACGGTATAGATTTTGCATCGGTTGTTGATGCTTCTAATTTCGCCAAGGTTTCCTGCAAACTAACAAGCGTATTTGCCTGTTGTTTCACTGTTGATTCCAAGATAATGACATCCAATGACTTCGACTTTTGCGCAGTGTTGATAAGCGTTGCTGTCCAGGTGGTTCCCGCAGGTTTCTAACCAGATCAGTTGATCAAATAGTTTTTCAGCTTTGGGACAATTAAAGCATTCCAAATTTACGGCCGGAATACGGAGACTCGCCAGCAAGTCCCTTTCGTAATGTCCGCCTTTGAAGGCAATTGTAGAGTTTGAATCTATCTGTATTTCACGTTAGAAATTCTCTACAATTGCCTGCAAGTCCGAAATTTGAAATGCTTTAGTGCCCCGTGGCACTCCAAGCGGGAGTTTATGTATATTCTTCTGGACGAAGTTACACGTTCTCTTGTCTTTCTCGTTGAGCTCGTTCCAGTGTAAACCAATATCGAAAAAGAACGACGAGGCTTCAGGGTCTCCAACCTTTATGACTCCCAACTCCTTACAGAAAAATTTCTTTCCAATTTGAAATCCGTCCATGTCAAGGATCCCAACGATGTCTGCTTTACACTGCATGTTGACTGATTGATTGCGATGTGAATTAGATTGTTTAAAACACTATAATCTGCGTTCTTGCGTGCGATATAACTATCGCGTGTACAAAATGTTAATCCATGTGTTAATTTATGCATGCAGTCAACCAACGCGGTAGCTTTGGCAACAACATTTTGCTCTTAAAATCAGTGCGATTTATATAGGGACACTTCTCAAAGTGTCCCGTAAGCAAATCCCGGGCGTCCCGTAGAAACGTCCCTGCGTCCCGTGCGTATGAGCACAAGCTCATAACTGCTCATGAGCACATGCTCATCTGCTCATAAAACTGCAATACTGCTCAATAGCAAGACATTTTTGCACAGTCAGTGCTAACGGAATGAGCTGCCAATTTTGCGGAAAGCAATTTAATCGTGGTTACAATCTACGAAGACACGAAAAGGAATACTGTCCCCTAGGTGCACAAGAAAGAAACATGTCTCAAACGGGTAGCCAGGAGAGGGATTTTCAAGACGACGTTTCGATAACTTCAACTGAAGGGTCTGAAATTTCGACGATGACTGATAATAAGTCAGAAACTGAAGAGGAAATGGATCCTTGGATACCGTTAATAGAAGAAGCAAAGCAAATAAGTAATATAGCATTTGAGGAAATGAAAGAAAGCCTTATCAACAGTGGTCTAGATGAACAATCCGCTAAGGACAAAGCTTACTCTAATATTCTTCCTAAACTCCAGAAGGAACTGGAAAATATTTGTATGGAGCGTCTCGTGTGGATGAAACAACTAAAGAAAGATCCAATTCATAAGAAGATTATGCGCACAAAAAATGCACTTGTGGAAAACGGTGATTTTGATCCAGAAGAAGCGTTAGAAGCAGCTGTTGATATGAGAAAGTTTCTTATAAAAAGGCTTTTAAAGGGTCACAAATTTGATGAGGAGAATGATGATGATGATGAAGAGAATGATGATTAGACTCGATTAATAGGATTGAAGTCATGCAGTCGAACAGTATTAGCACGTAAAAACATACCAGTATAGACCCAGCATGTAAATTGTGAGTCATTCAATAAATTGCTTTTTAATTACTTGCCTTTTCTTGTCATTTTTACATGGGTCAGGCGGGTACAAATCAAAATGGCAAAAACATGCGAATACGAAAATGTATACATTTGTGTACATAAACTTTGCAGTGTCTTCCACGAAAAATGTACACCCAGTCTTCGGGCCTAAACGGGTCTTATGAGCAGATGAGCATGTGCTCATGAGCAGTTATGAGCAGGTGCTCACACGTTCATGCAGGATGAGCATATGAGCATGTGCTCATGAGCAACTATGAGCATGTGCTCATACGCTCATCGCATAAGTCGATTGTATACCCGACATGATTTTGAAAATTGAACAGAATCTATACGTAATAGTTCGGGTTTAAACGGGCCTTAATGCGATGTAAAATGCGAACTCAATGCGAAGACGCATGAGCAAAATGGGAAGTCAATGCGGGGGTGTTAATTGCTGCCTCCGGCCCTCAGTCACCTTGTGTGGTCTGTATACATGATAATTATTACAGGTGTCATTTTAAACTTTATCTGTACCCTTTTTAAGAACACCGCTACCTCGAAAAATGTCATTAAAAAAAAAAAAAAAAATACACCTTGCCAAATTTAATTGGAGATATACATGTATTCGACTGTTATCGGTTCATTGTCTCTTGTTTTACTGGTAGTGATATGACTGTGTTTACCATTTAATCGTTCTTTCCGTTTTTGTTTCCCTTGTTATGTGGAGGGTGATGTGTGGAGGGTGATGAAGCATTATATATTGAATATCGTGACAAAAGTGAAAGAAATGTATCTAATTTTCGTAATTGCCTTTCCCGTATTAATTGGTACGATTTAGAAGATGTTCACGAGCCAACGAAGGCTTACGTCAGTTTCATTAATAAATTTAGTGCTGTCTATTACGATTGTTTTCCTCTTAAAAGGGTTAAAAAAAAGAAGTCTATGATTAGCAAGCCTTGGCTTTCCAAGGGCCTCCTAAAATCAATAAGGAAAAAGAATCGGTTATACAAACGACATTTGAACTCTCCATGTATCCATACCACTAATAACTATAAGAGATATAGAAATAAATTGAATCATTCAATAAGACTAGCAAAACGTCTTTATTATGAGCAGCAACTAAACCGAAATAGGACAAACTGTAAAAAGACGTGGAGTATTCTGAATGAAATTATTAATAAGCGAAAGCAGGTTAAGAAGGGTCCATCTAGTTTCATTATTGATGGATTGGAGCATTCTGATGCTAATGTTATAGCCAATCAATTTTGTAAATACTTTTCAAGCCTAGGTTCTAATCTAGCAAGTAAAATTCAAAATGTATCGGTTTCTCCAAATTCATTTCTTACCGGAGAGTTTGTAAATAGCATGTTCTTGGATGAAGCTACTGAGGAAGAGATTATTGAGATTGTTAATTCTATTAAGAATGGCGTAGCTTGTGGCTATGATAATATACCTGTATTTGCTGTCAAAGAATCTATTGATTTAATTGCCAATTTTCTTACTCACCTGGTCAATTTGTCATTATCATCTGGTGTCTTTCCCGATCCATTAAAAATTGCAAGAGTAGTACCAGTGTTTAAATCGGGGAATACTAGAATAATATCTAATTATCGACCTATTTCGGTTTTACCAATTTTTTCTAAGGTATTTGAAAGACTTGTCTACAATCGTTTATTGAACTATTTGGATAAATGTGGTATTCTTACTGAACATCAATATGGATTTAGAAAAAACCACTCAACTTCTCTAGCCTTACTTCAATTATATGACAAAATCTCTTCAGCAATAGAAAGAAATGAGTTTACAATTGGAATTTTCTTAGATTTGTCTAAGGCTTTTGACACAGTTAATCATAATATTTTGTTTGCAAAAATCCAACATTACGGTATCCGAGGGAAAGCCTTACACTGGTTTAGGAGTTACTTTAGTAATAGACAGCAGTTTGTTCAATACAATGGTGCATGTTCTCAAAAAAAGATTATCGAGTGTGGCGTACCACAAGGCTCAATATTAGGACCATTACTTTTCTTGTTATATGTTAATGATATCTGTAATGTTTCCAGTGTGTTTCAGTTTGTTCTATTTGCTGACGATACAAATTTGTTTTATGCGAATAGAGATTTTTCCTCCTTATCTGAACATGTTAATCAAGAGTTACATAAATTATCTGTTTGGTTTTCATGTAATAAGTTATCCATTAACTTAAAAAAGACCCATTTCATGATTTTCAGACCAAGACAAAAACAATGCAACGTTGAGCTAGACATTTTGCTAAATAATTATAAAATCGAATTAGTAAAAGAGATTAGTTTTCTCGGGGTGATCCTAGACGAACATCTCACGTGGAAATCCCATATATCGTACATAGCCAGAAAAATTTCGAAATCGATTGGGATTATAAAAAAAGCAAGCTTTTACGTTTCTAAATCGTCGTTAGTTTTGTGATACTATTCTCTTATTTATCCATATATGCAATATTGTATACTAGTCTGGGGCTCCACTTATCCGTCAAATTTAAATCGTATTGTGTTGTTGCAAAAGCGTGTTATTAGAATAATAAACCACGAGGTATATGACGCTCATACAGAGTCTATTTTCAAAGAACTTGAGTTGCTGACTTTCCATCAAGTGTATTTGTTTCACTTAGGTAAATTTATGTTCCTGTATCATAAACAAAGGTTACCACTCAATTTTAATACTTTTTTTCATCGAGTTAGTGAAATTCATGCGTATAATACGCGGAATTTGAATTTATATTCCATTCCATTATGTAGAACAAATATTAGACAATTTTCTGTTAACTACCAAGGTGTAAAATTGTTTAATTCACTCAGTCATGATATTCGCGATGCTTCATCTGTTGGCTGTTTTAGACAAAGACTAAAAGAATACTTATTAAATTTATAGTTTTCTGTCCATTTATCACTTTTTCTTTTCCTCTTTAATTGTACTTTAATTTGTATTAGTTTGTATTAGCTATATGTAATTATGTGTAATTGTGTGTCTCTCTGGCTTGATCAGGATGAAAAAGGTAGCCCAAAATTTATAAGCCTTATGGTTTCTCTTGGGCTCCCTTGCCAGTATAATTTATCTATTTATGAATGTTGTATTTTTTATTTATTTATTTTTTTTGGCAAATAAATTGACTTGACTTGAAGCACCACGGGTCAAAACCATTTGCGACACTCTATTACGTTTTGTTTAACTGTTATTCATATTTCCGCATGTTCAGGAGCTGTATGTTCTTTGCCAAAAGTTGTTGGTCCGTGCAAAGCTAGATTTGTGCGGTATTACTTCAACACGATAACACAAAAATGCGAAGTCTTTTATTATGGTGGTTGTCGTAGCAACGGAAATAACTTCAGAACGAAAAAACTTTGTGAAGGCACCTGCAAATCTGATCAAGGTAAATTTATTTATTTATCACTTTCATGGATTAAAATTCAAGGCCGCATGCATGATATTACTCATCAATGGGGGGTTTGTTGAACATTTTTAACCGAAGATCAATTGAGAGCAAAACTATATATTTGGTGTTTAGAGAAGTAGGTAACAGTCATGATCTTCATTCAATAGTAACAACCTCAATTATTCTGATCAGCTGCATGGAATGAGTGCAATTCTTAATACAGTTCCAAAAAATGTAATTCAGTGCAATGAAATGTATAGAAATTGGTCAAAATCATTCGTAAAATAAAGTGATGTTTAAAGATATTTTATGACATGCATCGCAATTAGGAAAAGTTATTTATATAAACTATAGTAGGCTATGAGTTCAACGATTCAATAAATCCCACTTGGCATCTTTATTACTATTAGTTTCGTATACCAGAAGATGTGGAACTCATCAGATAAATTAGCGTTATAACTGCAGCAAAAACCTTATAGTATTTATGCAGTACAAGCTAGTGGATGATTGAAAGCTTTAAATTAATCATATTTACAAAGCACGCATAAAGCAATTAATATGTTAGTTGATAAATTAACAGGACGCGGAAGTATTAACAACATTTAACATAACACTAAGCTATTAAGATTGAGCGGTATTTAAAACAAGATAACGTTCCTTTCATTTTTAATGATGTTGTTTTTGTAGATGTATGTTCCTTACCCGCAGTTCAAGGACCCTGTGAAGCACATATAGGACGCTATTTCTACAATGTTACATCCTCAAAATGTGAGAGATTCTATTATGGCGGTTGTCAAGGGAACAAAAATAATTTTAAAACTATTAAAGATTGCGAAAAGAATTGTAAACGTTCAGGTAAAAATAAAACATTAACATTGTATTTTAATTCACTGGTAATTGTTTAAATATTACACCTAACCATGCATGCAGAGACAGTTGTGAAAATTGCGTTTTTCGCAATTTTCCTGGTTAGGTCCAATAAGTGTATAACATTTACACTCAAATTAACCCATACACCTTTAAATATGCACCCTTTGAAAAAAATACTTTCCTAAATAATACCACCTGCATTTATGAGAGGAAGACATTTACTGGGCTTCCGTTCCCTGCTAAGCCACCATCCCCTTCACAACCAAAACAGCATATGATATAATGATTCAATTGGACCTCTTATAGAGACTGCGTTTTAAATAAACCTTTTCCCGGACACAAACATGCCTGAAATAAAATACGTGTAAAAGTAGTATACTAGCTTATTCTCTTTCAAGCATGCACGGTATACAAAAAATACGCAACACAAACAATGCGAAACTCTGCATGTTCATGAGTACCTATATAGTTTAACGCGAGTAGATGTGTATATTGCATGTTTCGGATTTTATGTTAATTTTGGTATTTTGTATTGGTCATATATACACCAATCATATATAAACGTGCGGAACAACAGAAGCACGGGTAATTTTTGCCAGGTTATATACACCAATATTGATGTTTATAAGTTTGTTGGTTAATATTATAGGGATGGCACCCAATTATTGTTCATGTCCACCTATGCATATTTTGCATGGTCTCCTCAAAAAGACCTCCCCAAAAGACTGCTGCGCTGGCTGAAACTTGTGCAGACTTAAGTTCTATAAATGTTTATGTGATTGGAAATGTGGTTTGAGGGTCTGAGTAATGGAGCTAAATGACTGCATATACATTTGCCTGTTGATTTTTGTTTGACAGAATATTATTAATGTTAAATGATAGTCGACTGCATGGACAGCAATTTGCAGCTGATACTACTGCAGCCCAACAAAACTAACATCTTACTATAGATGTAGGCTATATTTAAGAAATAGAAATTAAAACAAGTCTTGTGTTCTTACGGCGTTATAATGCGTGAGGAGAATGTTGAAAGAACGCGAGAAAACGTACAGAACACAAAGCGATAGCCGCGGTCTCTGTCATAAATTATAATAAACCAATTCTTTTGTTTATACATTAGCATTTCTCCTGATGTCACTGATAATTTTCTAAACACTTTGTTTCATCACTTTGGCTTAGGTAATCCATGTGATTTAGTGTTTTGTGGAGTTAATGGAAGATGTAAAGTGATGAACGGAAAAGCAATATGCACTTTATCAGGTATTTTTGAAATAAGAATTACATAGTGGTGCCTGCTGGTTTTCATGCGTTTCGGTTCTTAGTCGTCGTAATCAATTTATGATCACCTGTTCTGTGAGTCCTGGATTTATTTTTACCGCTTTACCATGTTTGGCAATTGTATACACCAATCAGTATTAATACTGAAAATGAGAGTTGTCGACGACCAAAAGGAAAGCAGGCAGCTCATTATAACACAAATACACCATGCTTTATTTCAACAAATTATGACGAAGCATTAAAATCAAAACGTATAAAAACGCCAAGGTAATTTTATTTTTTGTATTCCCTTTTTACAACACCGGCATTAGATTACAGGCCTAAATTACAAATCATTTAGGTTTTTGGGTTCTAACGTTCTTTTGCTTCCCCCTAGGCCCCTATTATTTATAGGTTGACCCCCTGCAATTATAACTTCCAAAATCGTTGTCGAGGGGGGGAGGGGGGTGGGGGAAGCAGCTCCCCAGAGAAATTGAAGTTGGAATAATTGTAAACGTGAGTTGGGCAAAATGATCGGGAAAAATAAATAAAAAGCAAGAAACATGTAAGAAAATAGTCGAAAATGCAAGAATTCAAATACGTATGTTTGAAAAAGTTTTAAGCCCTTAGAAAATAGTACCCCCCCCCCTCCCCCCTCGACAACGATTTTGGAAGTTTAGCATGGAAATGTTTTTTAATCAGTATATGTCGGGCAAAATACAAACAGGTAGTTGGGAAAATTTCATTCTACTCGACATCCTCGGTCCCAGGGCGTCACGGCTGACACTGCATTGTGTCAGCCGTGACGCCCTGGGACCGAGGATGTCTACTCGACTGATGTTTTCCTCCCGTTCACCTGTGATCCTCTCCATATAACTGGATCGCTTGCATCATTCCCTTTATAAGCCAGTTATCTCTTCCATTTTTCTATTCCACTCATCTCATGATTATGTACGGTCACTTATATTTCACGATAGTCCGATAGCACGGTCATCCCTTTAACACGCCACGCGTTCATGACCAGTATCGGGCTCCACTTTGCAAATTGTAGACTGAAGTTAGTGAAGGTAGTAAAGGCATATCTAGCAATGAGATTTTCCAAGACACAGAATAGATGAATACTATTCCTTGTTGTTATTGTAGCTATAATGCATCAATTTATCTGATCTCTTGCTCTTTTCTACTATTGCAAAGAAAACATTAAAATGACAAGGACTAGTCAGTGGTGTAGCCAGGGGGGGCTGACCGCGCCTCTAATCGCCACAAAAACCTTTCTCTCAAATATTCTAAATCCTTAGAGAAATTGGGTGGAGGTGGTGACTGAGTCTCTTCTGAGGAGAACGACGATTTACTAGAGGAACTTGATTTGTAAAATCTCGTTAAAGCGTTTGTAGATATGGTTCCAAGAAGAATGGGTTTAGTTTAGATTTTTAACTGTTAAATAATTATACATGTATGTCATTATCATAGCATGAATATTTCTTCTCAAACTTATTCTGCATCTTATGGAAGGTAATGCAATTTTGGGAATGCAGAAAATGGTGTTTCATAGAACCTAGAATTATCTAAATGCTGGGAAAAAATCGATTTGATGTACTTTATAATCTTCGTAATTCTTGAAATCAATCGCATTTTAGAGACTCTAGATTTCAAAATTTTTGGCTACGCCACTGGGAATGGTGATATATTACAGCAGGGATTCCATACAGCATATTTTCCTTATTCACAGATTTCTTTTCTCACAGCACATTCAAAATATGTCACCCAAATTATAAATTAGACTATTTTGTATTTAGTTCTGGCCAACCCATGTATAGCCACATCATGCTTGGTTGGTACAAGATGCGTCGTAGTAAATGGAAAAGGAAGATGCATTCCAGTTAAACCGGTGCCGACCGTTCATCCATCATGTGCTGCTGTCTCGTGTCTACAAGGGACGACATGTGTCGTAAGGAATGGCCGACCATTATGTGCCACGACTTGCTCAGCCAGCCGAGGATGCAAGCAACAAGGATCTTTTTGTAATTTGGCATCTGGCATTTGTCAATGCAGTAGATTTTGTTTGGCTGTACATTTGCCAGTGTGTGGTTCTGATGGGAAAAGATACGGAAATAAATGTCATCTTGACGCTGCTGCTTGTAGGGCAAAGAAAACTATCACTACTGTCCCATGTTACGGTAAAGTTGCATTTTCATCTATAAGGTAGCTAAATGTGCTTGCTTGAAAACTGATCACGGCCAGCTGGACATTTCAAAATCCAGTGGGAAAAAAGGGATCCAAAATGGCATATTAATGTCTTTCAATTATTGTTTTCTCTCATTATGACTTTGAAATAAAGTTGGAATTTTACTTCTCAAGAAATCTATTTTATAAATAAAATTATAAGGATGACATATGTTGGATTTTGTAAATATAACACAATGACTTTTGTTCAATTTCTAAACCATCATATCTTGCATGATAGATGTGCATGGCACATGCAGTAATCATGTGTACACTAATTATTACAGCATTTTCTTACATTTTTTTCTTACAATGATATAATTATTTAATATATGTTTTATTTTACTTTTTAGAAAATAGTAACAACACAGCAACACAGCAACCGGCTTATTAACCGTTTCCAGGTATTTTGAATTTTTACATAAATACTAGAAACATATGCATATGCTCCAGCTGAACACTGTTTAATATACATCTAGCCTACAATATTACATGTATGTTCGGGCTTCATTGTTCATCTCTGTTAAACACGAAGTATTGCGTCAGTAGCAGACCGCTGAGCGTATCGCTGTAGCGAAAGTAGTGGCATGGTGGCCTTTGCAAAACTAAATATATGCATGAACAGATTTACTGACATTGTTCATGCATGGCTGATGTTTTCTTCCTTTATTCTCACTATTTTATGTCATGTGCATGTGTCCATGTGTCCTGTTATTGAGTGAAAGAAATCTCTTCACCATATTCGTTTCTCATAGTGCATCCCTGTAACCATGGCCTATGGCCTAGTCAAGCGCATGGGATCATTGATGGACTTTTCACCCGGCCGGATCACTAGCTTTCCTTTCACGGGGACGTTTATTAATTTATCAATTAGCTTTGCCTTGTTATGTTACAATTAATTGTTACAAGTAATTAATGTTATGTTACAATTATGTTACAATTAAGCACCTGCTATTCTAATTGAATCATTTCAAAATCCAATCAATTCTCAACATAATTACAATTTAGGGGCTTCGGTGGCCAAGTGGTTAGCGCACTTGCCTTTCACCTCTAAAGCCGCAGGTTCAAGCCTCAGTGAGAACTTTCTCGAGTAAAAGTCAATGCTCAGGGGAAAGTCGCGGGTTTTTCCCAGGTACTCCGGTTTCCTCCCACAGGGAAAGTTGACAGGGTGGGTTAGGTAAAAGGGCCCACAGTAATTGGCACATGCATGCTGCTGTGGTGACCCTGCCCTAGTTGGCATAGCTTAATAAAATTAAAAAAAAAAAAAAAATTAAAAAAAGTAATTTGCGTAACTCAGATTTCAAGTTCTATCTCCCAAAACCTAAAACGAGTATATGAAAAAAAGTATTAGTTATAGTGGTGCAAAACTTTGGAATAACTTACCATCCGAAGTTAGAAATTCTGTTTCGATAAATACTTTCAATTCCTTAATTTCCGACGTTAGTCTGTCCTCATATAATCCTCTTTTTTTCTTGTTCATACAATTTAAATATCTATTGTGTTTATTGTCTTCATTTGAAGAGGTAAGCGTGAATAAATATAGTTTTACTGTCGATGCAATGGAAGTGTTGATAAAATATTGCATGAATTCATTTCCTCAAGTTGATCAATTCATACGAATTCAAATTTCTTTTTACTTCCTGTGCGTTTCCTATTGGTCAATCGGTTCTGAAACGAAATCTAATTGGCTCATCTAAAAGTAACAGAAAGTTGATCAATTTTCTATCAAATGAATTGATCAACTTGAGGAAAGGAATTGGTGCAATATTTTATCAACACTTCCATTGCATCGACAGTAATAATAAAAAATGTCCGCAACAGCGCGAGCCAATTACTGCGGCCCCGTAGATTACATACATGCAAATACAATAACGTTAACAACATAAACAAATGAAAAATGACAACAATACAACTTCTATACACGCAGCATGAGATTGGAATGAGGAGACCACGAACACTTTGGACAAATGCACAGTGCCGTAGCCAGAACGATAATTGGGGGGCACATATTCATATATTCGTGTTTTGCTTTATTAATTTCTTTTGAAATCAATTGTTTTTATGGTATGTGAACACGAATACCCGAACACCCCCCCCCCAATTATCATTCTGGCTACGGCACTGCAAATGCATGGTTTTATTAAAAATGACTGTTTTAAATGCATGTGGAAAAGCCACATGTGTCCAGTTTTAGCTCATCGGCGAGATGATTCCAGATGCGAGTTGATTATCATTTTAATTGAATGGAATTTTGCAATTGAGTCTACTAATAGTTTTACAGCAGTTTTACTTGATACGCGGCCACCTCGCGCAAAAAAGTTGATATAGCAATAGCCGTTTTTGACATTAAAACGCGCGGTCACTAATTCAATATCAGAAATGCAACGATTACTGAACAAAGCCCGCCAAACTAGATATTCTACAATTATATGAGATGAGTCGTCGAGTATAATTATAAAATTTGTGAGTCGTGATCGAATTTGGCGGGCTTTGTTCAGTTGTTGACGTTTCTGATATTGAATTAGTAACCGCGCCTTTTTGCGTGAGGTGGACGGCGCATCACGTAAAACTGCTGTAATTTCACCACAAAATTCCATAAGCTTCATATACAGAGTAAAGTAAATCTGATTGCTGTTAAATATCTTTTTACAAATTTTCTTTCTTTAGATTGAAAATGTTTTTCAAAGATTTTCAAAATGGTGCATTTCATGCATTTTTACAATTATAGATTCTAGGCTTTAGAATTAAGGTGGTGGTACAGTATTATTGTTATAAATCCTAATATTGTCAGTATTACCAATATTATATATAGGTAGTAGTAGAGTACGACATTGTACGACGTTATATTTTTAAGTCATTTTTACTGAAGAAAAATAAATATTTTACATATAGTATCTATTAACAAATAAGTATTTACCATTGTTTGTGTCACTCCGTACATTTTACTTCACGCATTCCTCAAAATTGTTCCAGCTTCGAAACGTTACTTTTCAAACACTTTCAGTCAAAACTGATTTTCGTCAAGCTATAACTGCATGTAAGGCGATCTTGCAAAAAAACGCTGATCGAGCAAACTAGCATTCCAAATGGCAGAAAACTAATTACATGCGAAAAATTACCTGCGAGAAGTCGTGTCAGGGTAAGCTATAGTCCTCTGTTTTTTCATGTTCCATCCAATATATCGCGAAATCTCCCTCATGCTTATAAAACTTTGACTGTCCAAAGTCCTTCGCTGTGGGAACCCACATCCTCGAGCGCTCCTTTATTTTCGTCAATAAACTATCACATATTGTAATGGAAAACCTTTGGACAATAAATTTGTAATGAATTCTCAAATGAAAAAGCTTCCCTAGTTTTGATTTAAGCAAAAGCGTAGGAGGTTCGAACAAGCACCATCAAACAGTTGACAGCTCCTCTCTTATGTGCTCTTGTACACTCGATTTATTCTTTCAATTTCGGATATTAAACTCTAGACAACAAGTGAAGATAGTTGAACGCAGAAATACTCCGAATACGCTATAATCACACGGCATTATTTATTCCTAGCCTAAAATATCGCCTGAAGAAAGCAGTGGCGGCGCCATGGGGGGGGGAGGCAAGGGGGGCAAATGCCCCCACAAAATTATTTTTGCCCCCCCCCCATTTTGCCCCCCCTCAAAAAAAATTATTAGTCACTAAGAGCGACTAAAGGCTACAAAAGCGTTCTGTCGTTATCGGAAAATGTATGGCTTATAAGTTGTCATTACTCATTAGTGAATGCGCGTATACATGAAACTGTTTTTTACAGTTTTAATATTAGTTTGTAAATCTCTGAATGGTAAAACTTGCCAATACTCCAATAATACGTTTCAAAAAAAGACAAAAAAGCTTTAGTTTTGCAGAGTTAAATTCTCAAACGTGTAAGGCAATAATAAGATGAAAGTATCACGAAAGTATTTGAATAAACCACATCGTATATATGGGCGGCGAATGTCCTAAAGAGGGGCGATATTCCTAGGGTATTTGCCCCACCCCCCTGGGAGGCGATATTCCTAGGATATTCGCCCCCGGGGGCGATATTCCTAGGAATATCGCCACGTTTTGAGGGGGGGGATTTCCTGGGGGGGGGACCTTTTTAAAAATTCTATTTCCCCCCCCCCAATTTGAGTTTGCCCCTCAAATGCCCCCCCCCCCAAATTTGGAAGCCTGGCGCCGCCACTGGAAGAAAGTACAAAATAAATAAATGACGTCTAAATAATACAAGACTAAATAATTAAACTACGATCTCCATCATTCCTGTATAACTCCTGTACTTAACACATGTGCCTATATTAGCGTCGTAGTCATGGTAATAAACGTACGGCGATCGATGTAGGTTGAATTATCCTTGCCCCAGACTTTCTATACATCATACCGGGAGTCCGGATTATATGGTTCGAATTAACATGCATACATTGAGTGGAATGGACGAATGCAATTGTATTATTGAGAAGAGAGGAAGACGATCCAGTCAGGTTAGCATGGAGACATATCCAATAGAAGGCACTAAAACAGGAGAAGAGGATGCCTAGGCAACAGAGCGGTCGACCCTATATCAGATATTAATGTAAGATGAATTAAGAAGATAATCAAAATTCTAAAATGAAACAAAGCAAAAACGACAACATGCGAGTAAAAAAGCTATAGGTTTTTCTAGTACTCAAACTCTATTAGTTTCAGGAAATTTTGACAAATGTTACGGTGTTAACGTTTCACAATTAACAATAAATCATCTGTTAGCTTGACTCTCTTTCAGTTAGAAGTGCAACGACAGAGTTAGACCACAATATTTAGAAATTTATGTGAAATCTGTTTATGATCAAATATACACCATGCACGTGTGGCATGGCAGTTTTTTTTTAACATTTTTTCTGGAGATTTTTTCGGCTTGACGAATTGACAATGTTGGGACATTGTAGCCTAAGTGTTTCGGGTGCTTCTACAGTGTTCGAATATCTCTATTTAAAGTCAGGCATTAAAATACGGAATTTTTACAAGGACACACTTTGCCTTCAGAGGCGTATTTTTGGTATAAATGTGCAGACTCACGAGAACGAGTGGCGAAGCCACAAGTTTAGCGTCGGAGACGCGAACTTTTAAGGGGGTCTCTGAAATGGCATTTCCAGAGTTCTGAGAAAAGAATTTGCAAAATCTTTGGCCATTTTGCGTGGATTACATTAATATGTTTTCAGTTTAATATATTTTCAAGTACACACTTTTCAATTTACAAGGGCACATTCGCCTTTTACAAGGACACAAAGTGTGTACAAGGACACGCTATTTTAATGCCTGATTTAAGTGAAGGAGTACAAAGTACAAGAGCAGACACTCAGTTTACAGTGAGAACCTCAATTAGCGTTTAATTGAGAATGCCAAAAATAGACGGTATAGCTTATAATATTTTCACACATTGCGATAATGGTCAGGGTGTACCTGAACCAAAACTTGATGTGAAATTTGACAAAATAAAAACGTAACTAACTGACCATCTATTGATCGTCCCTTCTATTAAAAATTAAGGGACCGGTCATTAATTACAGGGGAGGGGGGCTGGTGGAAAAAGAGGGGGGGCAGATATTTTTGTGCATGAAAAAAGGGGGGAATTTTGTGCAATATAAATATCTGCCCCGCATGACCTCGTCGTACCATAAAACCTACAGATAAAAAATAGAGAGCAGTATAGAACATTATTACTGTAGTAAACTCCAATACAACACCATTTATTAAACTGATTTCAACATAAACATGTACTGATTGGAACAGCTGTTGACTCAATAAATGGTAAAGAATATATAAATATACTAGGGCGTAGTTGCCAACTCTCACAGATCCACCATGAGCATCACATATTTTACTATAACCTCACAGTGAGCTCACAGCTTGTTAATATCTCACGGGTTCTTAGATATGTTGGCTTTGTTGCACATTTTAACTATTAAGAGTGACTTCATTTGCGTCAAATTTAACATAAAACTTTTTTCTTCTTAAAAAATTCCCGCCATTAAGCCAAAAATAGATCATCAAAACATCACTTCATGCAACCTCGTACTTGTGGGTATTCAACAATATGGTTTTGTATATCTAAATAAAAGCTACCAAAAGTTGTGTGTATAAGGTATAGAAGACTCTGAAAATGCCATTTCCAACGATCTAGAGACTCCATATTTTAAAAATTTTTCCGCTCGGCGCCAACTATGGCCCCCCAAAAGCAAGATGTTTTTTCCCAAAGTTGGCAACTATATGTTTGGGTAGTATGATTAAATGTGGCTTCACTTTATAAGAACTTTAAATTACAAATGTGCCTTTTGTTACTTGCATGTTCGGGGGGGGGGGGTCAAGTATAATTGTGCTAACATCAAGGGGGGGGGCAACAAAATTTTAGCATCTAATTTTTCATTTCCACCAACCCCCCCCCCTCCCCTTGTAATTAATGACCGGTCCCTAAGCCTCGTCTTTTCTTCTTCTGATAAATGTGAATGAGTTATGAATGTTCAGATGAGGGTACATGTACTCAGAACATTCATAACTCATCTACTCATTCACCATCAGAAGAAGAAAATTGCACTAAAAATCGCAGCAAAAATGTAAAATAGCTTTAACAGGCATGCAAGATTAATGTAAAATACAACTATACCATATTAGTAATGATTAAAAAAAAAATTATTCTGCACAAACTGTACTAAACGTTAAAACAACAAATATAGTTGTAAAAATAAAACTGAGTGACGTGAGACAAGAATTTCTACCCTTTTTGCTGATAAGGAATTGATATGTTTATATATACATAATTTACGCCATGCGAGGTCAAAAGACAAACAAGGAAGGAACACAAAAGAGTTCGTTGATTTCGTTACCCTTTTCTTGTTTTGTCGTTGAATTTTATCATTAATAATTTCATGATCACATGACATTGAATTTCAACCCAACGGTCATATCTTTATAATCGTGTATAAAAACTTCATGGTCTGGGTCAATTCTCACCTAGATTCATGCTCTGTCATACATTATTAAGACGTAGCTACAATTCAGTCATATTCATGAATCGTTTCAATACAAGTACAAATTATGTATCAGGATTTCAACTAAATGTGCAGGTATAACTGAATTCAAGCATAATACTGTAATAATAAATATTTTGGTATTAGCATTGAGTGCAATTTGAAAAAAAACATGCACGAGTGGATCAAAACTACACGACTCCGAAGGACGAATGCAATTTGAAGTCTTTGAAAAACTAAGAGTGTATGTTTCCACAAATTACACGAGAAACCATACTATTGCTTCGATTACATTGATTTAATTAACTCCATGAGTGCAATGACGTCACCATGCATTTTTTTATGCGTATTCTTGCAGTGCTATAACAACGTTTCAATGCATGCACCGGGGACAAACCAACTCAGGAAGACATCACTTGGAGAGTCACTCATAAGAATATTGGATACCATGGTGAACGTAAATGTATGAGAATATTCTCTTAAATGTATGCATGTATATGATATAATAGATTTTAATTAAATTTAGATCAATATCAAGGTGGGAGCCCGATACGGACCCTCTCATTGCATATAAAAAGATCATCTGCTCTTGCGTTCTTGAGTATATATTGTCTTTTGTTCATTTTAACCATATCTGATGAAACAGCAGTTTTTGTTGAAGTACGACCAATATAGCATTTCTCTGACTGTAATATATGATGCAATCTATAGGACGTGGGTGTATAACAGCGAATGCAGCACAAGAAAACTACACCAACGTTTTATTGTGAAGAAAAAACAAGTTAAGCAGGGGGCGAAAAAATATGAAGGTTATTATTCCACTCGCAATTGCTTTTACCGTTTTGGTAAGTCATATATTTACTATCCATAAATCATAATTCTCATTTATTCATGTTAGAAGTTATACTAAGATTATAATTTCATTTTTAATTTATAGCTATATATAATTATGTGTATTCTTATACATGTTCATCGTTTTAGGCTTTAGGAGAAGGTTTTTTACTGCCACCTACTAAAAAAGGTACAAAGATTCAAACAAGCTTACGTTGATAGGAATGCCTTCGTTCGAAATGTAGAAATTCCCCTTATATTTTTCAGGTAGTTGCATCTCTACCAACGAAAGCTCGTTCACTAAGATTCAAAACCTACTTTGTATTTAATGTGTCGGACTACTGTAGATTTTAAAGTTTGCCAAGAAGAGTATTCTATGCTTGCAAGTAATTGAAACCACCAAATATTTATCATACACCAATTGTTTCAATTAATAGGTCTTTTAGAATGAATTTGGCTATTTTTGCTTTAAGGTTTTTTTAATAAACATCACAGATTAATATTGGGGGCATTAGCTAGCCGTGTTCGAAATCTCGGATTAGTCGTATCAATGTTAAGAACGTGGCTACAAAGTACAAGTCTGAAGGCCAATCCTTCCGTCCATCATTGATACAGAAGAGCCAGAGTGCTTGGAGAGATCCTAGCTGTAGACTTGCCTCAGTTAAATTAGAAGATTCTTTTTACATGTGACTGAGGCAAAATGATCAGAAAACTACATACATACTTCAAAGCCTATACTCTATATAGCTAGAGGCTAACCCTTACCCAAATGTAACATAATATTTCACATATGAAAGATTTGGGCGAACGACACTTTTTAATGTCATGCCGATGCGGAAACACAAAGCTTACCAATCTTAGAGTTTTGTAATTCATACAATTTATCCCTGATCTTGGAAATTGATAATTTTATAATTGAAAGTGTTATTTTTTTGGGTTATTTTTCAATTTTAAAAATATAAAGAACAAGACGCTCCACGGAGCGTTAAGTCGCTGGGACGATGGAAATATGCAATTTTAAGTGCAAGTATACCACTAAAGAAGACGTGTTTGTTTTACCGAAAGTATTGATTCTTGAAGTTTGCAGTTTGCCTGGCAGTTAGCGCTAACAGTTAAAACAAGTGTAACCATGTAGCAATGTTGTTTTCATAGTATATAGTATGTGTTAAAATAAGCGTTTATATCCTGTTGTCATTACACAGATCGGCTGGTGTTATGTTACCAACTAGCCAAGTTAAATTGAACTTAGCTAGCTAGCTAGTTAGTGCGTTAAATTGAACTTAGCTAGCTAGCTACTTATAACTTCTGTCTAAAATATACGAAATAACTTCTGTCTAAGACCAAAATATACGAACTGATTATGTACAAATCCACTTCCCTCCTCGATAACATAACAGTGAAACGTCGTGATAACTTTTACTGAATTCTTACTATGTTTCTTAATTCAAAAACCCCAAAAGAAAAGACATGACTGGACCAAAAAATTGATTACAAGTCAATAGAAAACTTTTGTACGCTATTCATACGGGAACCACTGAGTATTTTAATAAAATATAAAACAACGGTAACTCCGACAATAAACATTTTAATAATTCTAGCTTTATTTCGACTAAGATTCAGTCATCATCATGAATGATGCTAGGTAAATTCCATGGTCGCCTTTTGACTATTTTTATTTCGTAAGAATTACGTAATTTTTGCCAAAAATGACGTAATTCGTCATTTTGTGGTCTACCAAAGGGCAAACCTAGAGTGGGTGGGCACCACAGGTGGCCCCACCAACTAATAAAATGATCATGTAACCAAGACAACCACTTCAAATACTTTATGTTTGAAAAATATAGCAAATATAGCTTGAAAAATATAGCAAATTAAGCCATGTATTTCTAGTTTGTATTTATAGAATTATGTGTTGTACTGAAGCATTTTCACACACGAGTGTGAAACATTACTCTTTCACATAATTATGCAAAGCAAACTTTATACGCCGGAAAACTTTTAAGTTCATAATTTCATATAGAAATAAAAGACCTTTTCTCAAGTGAAATTTTGCAAGGGTATATAGGCTAATTTCGCGTTAATGCCCATCTACACTTTTGCTGCGATTTCAGGCGCGATTTTTGCCGTTCAGATAAATGTGAACGAGTTGAATGGATGTGAATGAGTTACGAATGTTCAGGCTAAATAAGGCAGTACGGATAGCCTGGACTTCTGAGCATATACTAGAACATTCATAACTTATCTATTACTTATCATAACTTATCTATTTCTTCACATGCATGCATGCATGCATCAGACGAAAATTGCACTAGAAATCGCAGTAAAAATTCCAAACAGTAAACGAGCAGTTTTAAATAAAAACTATATATCCTTTTGCACTGATTGCTTTATGAGCTAGGATAGTGCTACAGTACATTTGGCTTTTAAACAGTGAAGAGTTAAAGAGATTTAGAAACCAACGAACAGCATTTGTGAAGAGGAATAATTAAATTAAATTATCTTTTTTAGCCTATGCAGTCTACGTCAATCCGTGTGCCGTCACGATATGTCCTAGGCCAACGATATGTATACCAGTCAGTAAAAGAAGAGCGAAATGTGTTAGAATAAAAAAAGCAAAACGTGTGACAAGATGTACATCTAACAGTGATTGCAATTAACAAGGTTCTATCTGTAATATAGCAACAGGAATTTGTGAATGCGCGACGTTCTGTCTTGCTATATTTGATCCAATTTGTGATCGTGATGGAAATCAATATGGTAATCGATGTGAGCTTAATAGAGCAGCTTGTCTGAAAAAGATTACCATAATTCCTGTTCCCTGCAAATAAGAGGTAAAGTAAATCAAATATTATAGTACGCGGATTGCATATATGATTAAGTAATCATCGAGACATTTTAATTTTCTAAAATTTTGGTGCAAAAATTATTTAAATTTTTAATTGAGATTTGAAGTAACGTCCTATCCGATATCCTGTATAATTCATAATTCATATGTGACACATTTAACATCTGATGTTTAGTCACATGAATTCGCATGAAAATGCAGAATGCGACTGAGAATAATATTCCTTACCGTAGCCTGTATAAGACAGCATAATAGCACAGAATAGATACACAACCAGAAGTGTCACTCAGACGATAATTTGTCCGAAATTTTACGAGTGCTGACGTGAAAATACGCCATCATATGACGCCATCCTGGAGTGCACACGGAAGTTTTTCATAGGAAAACATAGGTACAAAGTGCCGTGTGCACTCCAGGATGGCGTCATTGCACATAAAAAAATTTCGGACGTTTTCCTTCAGTCAAAACACATAGAAGTGTCCCTTCTGGTCCGGTATCTATTCTGTGATAATAGTGTAAAGTAATGTAATGCAATGAAATTGATTATAACACGTAAATTTAGACCTTTGACGAGCAAAATCATCTGGTATTAGCTGACATGAGTTATTGTATATTTACAATGTAATATATTATTTAATTTTAGACAACTCCTCTTTTTTATAGATTACGATTGTCAAACAACTGACGGCATATTTCATCTGTGACTGAATTTAATTAATATCATATTACTATGAGTTTATTTCACATTATAAAGATAAATTAAATAAGCTTTAATCATACAACTGAACTTGAATAAATGAAAAATAGTGTATACCTGTAAAGCAACCAAACAAAAATATGTGAAATGTCGTACTTTCTTTCAGTAAACATTTCATTTTGACTATTCATTCAGTTGTTATTTTTCTTCCTTTTTTTTCCGTTTTCGCCAAATGTTGAGAGTAGAAGCATTTTAATATTCATCGTCAAAGCCCCGTGAATCTCTTCTAACTTCTTGCAATTGAAATCGAGTAATTCCTTATAACTTTTTTGCGTAGCATGTATAATTTTTGCGTTGACTATTTTTAAAGGTATTCTTTCATCGATGCGCAGTCGTTTTTCCGCGGTATTGCTCGTAACTGAAATTCTGAGACGAATCATGCGTGCGTAATACAAAATAAAGTTTGACCGCCCCCCTCGTTTAAAAGACTTCCTGAAAAACTAACTGACGTCATGCCTAAGCTAGTTTTATCGATCGGTTCGTTTTTCGTTGCCCCTGCAGAACGACTAGGGACTAGGCTGCGGCAAACATATTTACATACTATACAGACAGACACAAAATCTGCTGATCTCGACAATACAGAGATCGCTTGAAAGAATGGGTCGAGTGGACTCTGGAGAAACATGGCATATCAAGAATAGCAGCGAAGAGCCTGGGAACGAGGTTGGAATAGCATGTGTGCTGCGTCGCTGACACTCGGCAGCAACTAGAAAATATTTCGACAGTCCCAAAACTTATTTCATGGCGTGAACTCCAGAATAGTTCCCAGTTGAGTTTTCAGTCCTTGCCTTAAAGCCTATATAACGATTTAGTCTTCCCACAAATAACACAATTTGGCGTCATACTGTGTACATGAAAAACTGAACAGACAACGGCAAAATCTTATCTATTTATTAAATATTTTTATATATCGGCCTGGCTATATTATGTATATATTATTTGATACACCAACTAATTTTACTGTATGCAGATTGAGTGCTTCCAATGGTGCTTCCTAGTTAAGCGTACTTATATACAGTCTATACAGAAAGTGTGAATCTTTCTAAGTTTTTAAGTGACCAATTGCAAATAGACATCAAATCATACAGAAAACTAAATGCTGTATTTTTATTCATTTAGTTATCTCATGCATAGGTAACAAGGTTTTAAACTTTTACGTGCGCACACGCACGTAGTGAAAAACGCTTAACAATAATATCGCCTTAAGTTCCCTTTCCGATTACGCACACCCATGCATAACATTCCTTTTGTCTTGATTGACAAACTGTAACTGCCCCCAACATGAACTGACAACCGTTTAACGTCATTAAGAAGAATGTTTATTAAAATTAACGCCAACGGAATTATTGTGGTCAAGGGAGGGGAAATAAAGTTGTGCACATCAAAAGAACATTTATGCTATACAGAAAATTTACGAAACTAAATCTGCCATGCACACATATTTATATATATATATATATATATATATATATATATATATATATATATATATATATATATATATATATATATATATATATATATATTTGTTCCTTAAGCTTTATTTCTAAGAAAATACTTCTGAGCTGGCTCGATCTCCGCTCAGCATAGCAGGCTGCTATGCTGAGCGGAGATCGAACTACGACCTCATAAGGCCGAGACACACCGGATGCGATTCTAACCATTAATATCATGGCAAAATACATTATATACTGAGGTGAGCAAGCCTAGCACATTTTCCACATTTTTAACAAAAAATTCGTGTGCGCACTCGTATTCCGTGGACACTTATTTTTTCCAAACCAGAAAATGGGGGTTAGCAGGAAATTTCTGTTGTTGCATGCAAGCATACGACTTGGCAAACCACGAATTCGGCACCCACGCGCTGTCATAAATAATATTTCCCCGAATTGTAGTTTTAATACTATAGTCTATACCCTCTTGACGATATTTAATCTATTGTGTGGATTAATCTCTGCACGTGTAAAAACTGTCTAAGTTTACTAAATTCAACTCTTATTTCAATTAGTTGCATGTAGTTGGCAAACAAATTATGTCCATCTAAGATATGAAAACGTGAATAAAATATAGACTAAAATGATCAGTTGCAGTCTCTAGTTTCGTGTTTCCCTTCGTATTTTAGAATGATCTGGAAAAAACTCCGTTTCCGACACTAATAACGTAACCATACTTTGCTCTGAAGTGCTTCCAGCAGTAAGTTCCGGTTTCAATTGAGATGTTCACCATAATAAGTTCCCCTACCGGACGGAAATCACATTCAAACAAACGTCACATAAAGTGTTACTGCATAAAAACGTTACAGTTTATGACGACCAAACTATTTGAGCTCAAATCCGAGATAAGTAGAACATCTCAAAGTAATTGACTGAGGGGATATGAAGTCTATTTTGCAAATCACAGTTGCTTTTGCGGTTGTGGTAAGTTGTTTAATTGATATTTATATGGTGGCATGGGTTCGTTGCCTGACTGCATGCCGACCTAATAAGTTCACAATTCTGTCGGCAGTGTCGCTCCAGGATTTTCAAATTTAATAGTTAGAGCTGTGGCGCAGGCTAGATGTTTTATTTATCAATCTCACAACCATAAGCATACGGGACTGTGGAGGGAAGCTTCCCTCAGAAAGTTAATTGGGCAAATTTTCAACATAAATCAGGAAAAGAATATGGGTGACATAAATTGAAAAGTAAGAAAAATCACAGCTATCTTACCCGGGTGTGTGTGCTTGTGTGACTGGTGGAAAATGTTTCCTACTCTCCCTACAAATTTAGGCCCGTACGCGCCTATGGCTATGCTCTCAAAACTAACCTCGATCTGATCTGTTTGGCAAATCGACAATCATGTGTTTTTGTATTTGTCACTGCCTTAGCGATAGTTGAGCAAGAGATCTTGATCTGTTTGAAAGGAATTCACGCTAAAATTGCATGTGAGGTTGCAAGGCTTTTGCCGAACTATCCTGCATGGTGCGCCGTGCGCATGGCCGCGTTTCGCTTCCTTACTGAGTAAGCTATGTAATTAATGGCATCTATGTAATGGCATTACGGTAACCATTTACTTGAATTTTTATGAGTTTTTAGAAGGATCTAACAACCTGCTATTCTACCAAACGGTCCAAACACGTGCAAGTTGTTCATCGCTAGCTATATTCAACCCGACAATTAACTGATATTTTCAGTTAGCCGATATTTACTTAGGTAACACATCTTCGATGCAAAACGACAATTTTGAAAGTAATATAGTCTATAGCCACTGTCATTCGACCGTTTCGACCTTAGTACGGCAAAACTGATACAGAGTCTATACATAGATGAGTATATCGATTCGATCACAATTTTAAAATTAGCTCAAATTTTATTCAAATTCCATGTTCTCCATGCTCTCCGTGCCAAATCACCCAACGATCACCAGTATGTAGTTACTATATATAACGGGTTTAAAAAAGGCAGAGGCGTTTACGGTTCCCAAGGTTTTTACAGGCTGGTAATTGTCAAAAGGGAGGGGCTCGCATTTTATGGGTATATATAGCCCGCGTTTTAAATTAAATGCCTCTGCGGAGGAGGTATATCTTTTCAGGCGCCCTATATAGACAATACACGAAGCGAAATTATCCTGTTTCGTTTCTTCGACCCACTATGTGACATAGTTATATAGAAAGATGAATATTTATTAAGTACTTATTTGTTGTATTTTGTTTCACTAGGCGCTGGGTGAAAGCTTTTTGCCGCCCAAGACAACACAACCAGGTAATACTTGGAACATGCAAAACTTATGTATACGCCTTACACATAAGACTAAGTCAGATACAAAGTATAAGCATAGCCTATAGGATCGACTTTTATCATTTATTATTCCATATCAAGCCCTATATTATCGCCACTCCTTTTGGACAAATGCGAAAATCATGAAGAAGTTCTTCGCATTTGTCCAAAAGGAGTGGCATGTAGTAAAACATGGACTGGACTCATTAGTAAAACATGCATGACTGGACTCGATTAGTAAAACATGGACTCGATTAGTAAAACATGGACTCGATTAGTAAAACATGGACTCGATTAGTAAAGCATGGACTCGATTAGTAAAACATGGACTCGATTAGTAAAACATGGACTCGATTAGTAAAACATGGACTCGATTAGTAAAGCATGGACTCGATTAGTAAAGCATGGACTCGATTAGTAAAACATGGACTCGATTAGTAAAACATGGACTCGATTAGTAAAACATGGACTCGATTAGTAAAACATGGACTCGATTAGTAAAGCATGGACTCGATTAGTAAAACATGGACTCGATTAGTAAAACATAGACTCGATTAGTCGGTTATATCAAGGGCGTTTAAATTGGCTTAAACTTTAAAGGGTGTATAGGCAAAAAATTAAAAACATTCCTATTCTCAATATACATATATTGTAAGTACTTTTTTTTATCAACTAAATGAGTAGTTTTATGTATTGTTATTATGTTTAGACAGAAAAGAAAAGTTTAGTCTGCTTGTACATGTAGTCAATAGTTCATAGATTTGTTTAATGTTTTGACTTATACAACCGACCCATGCAGATCTATTTATCGGCCGTTGTTCGCACGCAAACAAATATGCATGTAAATGCTTCATATTTAACTACCGTAAACCTCCGACTATAAGCCCCCTCGAATATAAGCCCCCCCCCCCGTGTATAAGTCCACCACATGCACTAACGTTCACCTCATTCCAAATATAAGCCCCCCCCCAATATAAGCCCAGTAAACGCTGCTTAATACACGTTTATTTCCCTGTTTATGACTGACTTGTTTATGTCTGACTTGTTTATTACTAACACAAAAGATCGTCCATGTATAAGCCCACCCGTATATTGAATCGAATCTTATTTGCCCATATGAAAAAGTTAATATAAGCCCCCCCCCCCTTGTATAAGCCCATCATTAGTATTGCAGGAAACATGCCGATTGTCGGAGAATCTTGTTATCGAGTATACAGCTATTTCAATTATAAAGGTTGTCCACGAGCAAATCGGAAAAGTCGAATACGAGCGCGAAAGGCTGTTGGGAATCGCTACAAATTAATGAATTTTCAAAGCGGTTCCCAGCAGCCTTTACTGGCTTTAGCTTTCGCGCTCGTATTCGACTTTTTCGCTTTGCTCGTTGACAACCTTAATTGAAATAGCTGTATATTTATAAAGAATATAGTGCACACAACGAAACCACGTCCAAATGACGTTTCTCCTGGGATAAATCGATGTGGACGTGTTAATAAAATAGCAAAGGTGTTTCTGTTTACATAAAAATCAAGAAATCATCTATAATATACATCATCACAAGAAATCATCTATCTATATACTCAATATAGCATTACCTAGCTGTCGGTAAATAATTTGGTATTTATTCCACATTTACTTACAATGGCCGATGCTTCTTGAAACTTTACGTTAAATATCGATGAGATCTCTTATACACAAAAGTTGATGTTATTAAAATTACAATTTACAAAAAAAAAACAGACAAGGAACTACATTTAGGAATGTTTTACTAATCGAGTCCATGTTTTACTAATCGAGTCCATGTTTTACTAATCGGGTCCATGCATGTTTTACTAATCTGGTCATGTTTTACTAATCGAGTCCATGTTTTACTAATCGAGTCCATGTTTTACTAATCGAGTCCATGTTTTACTAATCGAGTCCATGTTTTACTAATCGAGTCCATGCATGTTTTACTAATCGAGTCCATGTTTTACTAATCGGGTCCATGTTTCACTAATGAGTCCAGTCCATGTTTTACTAATCGAGTCCATGTTTTACTAATCGAGTCCATGTTTTACTAATCGAGTCCCAATCTCGTACCCAGAGCCATCGTTAAATTGATCGAGTCCATGTTTTACTAATCGGGTCCATGTTTTACTAATCGAGTCCAGTCCATGTTTTACTAATCGGGTCCAGTCCATGTTTTACTACATGCCGTTTTTCGCAGTTTTTTTAGTCACCCCAACTAAATAATATCGCTCTTCAGGTGTTTATCATGCATATGTACGTAACCCCCTTGTTCTCGTGGACACTGATTTCCATGTCCTTGTATAAAATGTGATTTTATATAATTTACTAATCAATGTAGTGAACCCGTGTTCAAAGGTATTATGCATGGCTGGAACAAAATGCGTTGTACAAAATGGAAAGCCACGTTGTGTTCAAGGTTAGTATTGATAGAATTTAAGCCCTGGTCGAACGAAGATAACAGTTGCATGATGAGAGTTGGCAGGTACGCATTAGGGCCATAGTTATACGAGCGAAAATAAGTCGCGACCTAAATAAGCTGCGGCTTAAATAAGTCGCGAACGATTACGGTATAAACAGTCAATTTGCAATAAGCCGCGGCTAAAATAAGCCCAGAGTTGAAAGCTATAGGCCTAAATAAGCTGCGGCTTATTGCAATTGACTGTTCATATGAGTTGTTCGCGACTTATCTGTATTTTAACTCAAAACGACATTACCAGAAATATGGGACATTTTGCTCCCGCTTTAGTTGTCAGCGGCTAAGTCAGTTTTATATGCCTAACATTGCCTAACATAAGTAAAACGACTTCGCATTTTACTTTGAATCTCCAATTCAAGTATGATTCAACCAAAAACTGTGATTGCTGCCGCAGCGAGCGAGCCTGAAGCGAGCGAGCAAGGCAGCAGATCCTAATTTTGTTTTGTGGGTCGAAATCAAAATTTTCTATTTGGCGCATTGCATGACGGTACCAGTGAATTTTAACCGTGGTGCAGCGCGGTCAGGCATAAGGCAAACAGGCAATGTGATCATATTTCATCTTTGGTCTTCTTTTATGGAAAGCCATAGCTGGCTTAAAGTGATCAAACGGCATTTTGTTGGGTGCTTTTAGCATTATACGGCGGTGTTTTTGGCATTATACACGGTGCTTTCGCCATTATACGCGGTGGTTCCAGTATTATACGCGATGCTTTCACCATTTATACACGCGATGCTTTTGCAATTATACGCAATGGTTCGTCGAGCACTATATGCGGTGCTTTTAATATTATACGCGATGCTAGCTTTCATTCAACATTATTTCCATATTCTTTCCATGACATGTATATGATTTAAGGTATGTGCATGGTTGACAAATGCTTTTTGCCTATGGTCTGCAAGGACAATGACATGCTTTTCTGTGTATATACATGCATGTAAATTATTATTTATTATTATTATTATTATTTAAATTTATTTAAACACGGTAACCTATCAGTTTCCTGATTTTCATAGGGCCGTGCATCTATTTACAAAAGTATACTATCTACAGACTAAAAACTAATTAATATCGTAATAACAAAATAGCATGCAATAATTGTTTGAAATCATATATATCTAAAATAGTGACATAAATCATGCAAACACTCAACAATCTATGACTTGAAATATCCATTAATAGTACTTTTGAATGAGTCAATAGAGAGTTGATTGTAGTTATCCCTTATTTGCATAGGTAGTTTATTCCATGATGATGATCCACGATAAGAAAAACTATTTTTCATAAAATTCGTCTTAGGTTTTTTTAAACAGAGATTTCTGTTATTACTTCGAAGGCTATAATCATTGTTAAAAGTAGCGGTGAAAAGGTTAGATAAATACTCTGGTGCGAAACTTCTAATCGCTTTAAAAGTCATCACAAGTTCGCGTTTTTTCAGAGTGGTTTCTAGTGGTTCCCAATTAAGTTTCTTAAAAATGTCAGAGGAACGTATCTCATAATTAGAACCTGTTATCACACGAGCTGCTCTTTTTTGCAGTTTAACAAGCTTGTTCATATTTGTATTATTTCCATCATGCCATACATTGGAACAATAAGTTAAATGGGGTAAAATTAGCGCGTTATACATTGTCAAAAGTGTTTGTTCTGTTGTAAAGTTTTTCGCCCTCCTTAGGAGGGCTATATTCTTAGAAATTTTCTTACATTGTGCATCGATATGATCTTTCCATTTCAATTCTTTATCAATTTTTACACCCAAGACTTTTTGTCCTGAACTCGTTCCACACTATGGTTTCCAATGACTATGTTCGGATTACGAAATAGGTTATTTAATTTCTGGCGTGATCCAATAATCA